CACACAAAAGCATATGTTATATGATTGATTTCTATATTTGGCACCCAGATTTATTTATATACTAGTTGATATGTATGTATGCATTTGTAGCCTGGCACAAACTTGCGGCTAGCTGAGCCGAGCGTGTTGTTTATAGCATCTAATCTCGGTTTATAGCTCTGCCAAAGTAATTGCACGCTAAATGGCAGAACATGTTCCGTCATTAATATAGTCCAAGCCCAGACGGAATTGGGAATCTGACGCCGGGAACAAAATCCAATTGGACTAGCAAATGGGTCGCAAGTCTACACAATCCGAGGCCCTGCTTTTATTTCATCCCACCCCAACCCTTTGGCAGTAAGAGCAGAGCGTAGAAATTTGGTTCATTTCGTTCATTTCCTCATCGGGCGAATGATTCATCCAATTGCGTCGAGGATCATACAAGAGGCGTATAACATAATTTTTTCCACTTCTGTTATATATGCACATATGTATGTATGCATGTATGTATATATGTATGTATGTATATTTGTAGAAATTTATTTGTGTGTAAATATTTTGTGTTTTTTTTGCGTTGTTATTTGTCGTTAATGATGAGGCTTTTTCAGCTGGGGATCATGACGTCATTGTTGATAGAAATACGATTTCTCGAGAATGAAAAACAAAACAAACAAGGCGAATTTCACAGTTGTGAGCAATTTTTATACGCTGTAGAAATCTAGGATCTCTAGATGGAAGCAGAAAGACAAGAATCTCTCTACTATTAATTGTTTTTCTTTTTCTTTTTGGCATACTATGAGGGTCAAGCGGTTTGCACGATCCCAAGATAACTTCAATTGTGTCATAGTTGTAGGGTCTAGATAATAGTTATCTTATTGCTTATGTATGTATGTATGTATGTATATGAGCAAAACGTTGTTTGTTTATTTTTTGTGAATTTTTATATTATTTAAGTATGTACGTATGTATGTATGTATAATGGAACTTTTGCTTGGAATTGAGAACAACGCAATCAGCGCGTTTATTGCCCCCAAGATTGAAGGTCGTTTCCTGGGCACTTATTAAACAGAATTTGCCTCAAAACAATGTTACAAATTTAAATTCAATTGGCGCTTCAAATTGAAACGTATTGGCAACAATTACGCTCATATGTATGTATGTACATTTGTATATGTATATTCTATGGAAACGAACACGCGGTGTACGTGTGTGTGTGTGTGGACGTGTGGACTGCGTTGTTGTTATGCCAGTTTGTCGATTGTGCTTGCGATGGGAGGCTTCACGCCCAGTGATCACCATGCTGATCATTTATCTGTGCTCAATTTATATGTATTCGATTGTTGTTCTACATAACTGTAGAAAAAACACAACGGCAATTTAACAAACTTACAGTTAATAGCAACAAAAAGTAAAGCTCAACATCGTTTACTATGACCAACTATTGTGACTGAAAACGTAACAGTTAAGCCTGGCTTTGATTTTCGATGATTTTCTGATTCGGCCTTCGGCATTCGATATTTGTTTTGCATTAACAGCTGTTACTTAAATATTTATTAGGTACACACTGCTTTTTACTTGTCCGCCTTGTAATTTGAGCGAATCGGTAACCGGGCATATTCCATGTAGTAATAAATTAAACTTGTGAGACATAAAACAGCTGTGCTGTGGTCTCACATCAAAATCGAGGGCGCACATTTATGAATTATTTAATCAGCCGAGAATAAGAGACAAGTTCGAAACTTTCACATCATGTTTCCAGAAAGTTGACCTTGGGCCAAACAATTGGCAATGAGCAATATTTTTATTATGCTGTATTCCATTGTTTCCGGCATATTGCGTTTCGGTTGAGATGAAGACGGGGGAAAGCGTTACGCTTCAATCACTTGTTGCTAATTGCTGATAAAAAATATCTGTTTGCTAGTATATTGTTGCCCAGCTCACATATGTATATATAAATTGTTTATACATATAATGACGTGTTCATTGACAGCACTTCTGCCACAGAGTCAGTACAGAGAGCATTGCAAACAATTCGGAACGCGTCAAAATAATGAAAAACCAGATAAGCTGACCAGCTGTCTACCCTGCCGATGCACGCAGTACAAGATAACCACATTTATTATGGTGCTGGGATATGTGTACGTAGATACTGTATTTGTCTTCCCGTTACAAATTCCAGGAATGTTCATTAAATGCCGCTTACAGAGGCAACAAGGCGTACGGGGGATTAATAATGTTGAGACAGGTCATTAGTGATAGCTAAGAGTCTAGCTGTGTTTCAGGGTAAGTGCAGGTAGCGCGGTTGCCGGACAAAGACGCAGACATGGCGACGACAATGAGTCGGCATTGCCTTTTGTCTGCATTGTACGTCAAATTAAATTAACAAAAAAAAAAAAAAAAAACAAGTGCGTGGGAGAGAAAAGGAAATGCGCACTGCATGCTGCTTTTATCGATAACAGCGCAGTCAATTAACAAAAAACAGCAACGCCTGTCAAACACAATTATGTTTACATACTGTTGTTGGTCAGTGCAATGGCCCCACCAGACCAGCTGTCCGCATGCAGAACAATAAACAAAGCAGAAACCGAAGAAGAAGAAGTTGAACAAGAACAAAAGATGTGGCTTACTAAAAAGCAGAAATACAGTCAGTGTGCCCTGTGATTGATGATTTAAACTTCTATCTGTCTCACTCACTCACACCACCACCACAGCAAACGTAACGGTTATGTGATCGCTATGTTATCGATAACATTTTATGATTTATTTAATGCGTTATCTCTATGCGTAATTAATACTCAAATTATTACTTCAAATCTTTAAAGAAAGTAATATTTTCAATCTGAACAAAGCAGCGAACAAACAATGCGTATTTGCCGGGCTCCAGATGTTTGCATAAGCAATGCTCGGCCGGCCTGACCGCGCCCCAAGTAAATATTAATCAGCAGTAGCAAATATACATATGTATATGTATTAGAGTATGGCCTACATGTTAATGACTTTTGTACGTGCCAATGCGTCATAGTTGTATTGTTTATTAACAAATAACTGAGATATAGTCTGGGCGGCAATAATGTAAACGTCGTTGTATGTTGCATAGGGCGAAAACAACTCAACGCAATATTAATAAACAGTAAATTCTTGCCGAATTTCGTCTGAATGTCTCCTTTTCGTCTCCTTTTCTGTCTGCTGCGAATGACACTAACAAATTGGGTTGCAAGGCATAGGGTCAGATGGCAACATTGACCTAATTTACTCACTACTCACTTTAAGGCGCACGAAATAAGAGCAAACAAGTATATGTTTGTATTGAGATACGTATTTCTGTACGTGAATACATACACATACATACATATGTAGCACCCGAGCAAACAACAACACCAGCAAAAGAAACAACAAAGGCATAGCGGCCCCTACTAACACACTGACATTTATGCTGTTTATGCCAATGACGACGCGTCGACGTCGACGCCAACGACAACACCAACGCGAACGCTACTGTTGCGCGCGTGTCGGGGCCTGCGTGCTTGAGACATGCAGTAACAGAGTAGTAAGAGCAGCGGCAGAAAAACGGTATGAGTGGTGGCTGGTGGCTGGCTGACATTGACAATAACAACAACAACGACAACAACAACAGCATCATACTATTTTCTTAGCGTTATTAATACGGTATCGGTACCGTTGTTATCACGTCGTTTAACGCCCACAAATTCAAAAATAGTGCAAAGCAAATGCAGCAAAAACAACAGCGCAAATTCAAAGCAAATTACAAAACGAACTCAAAAGCTTTTGTCATACTCTTGTGAGTTTGCTTTTTGTTCTGCTTCTTAATATATATTTGTTGTTGTAGTTCATCGCCCTTGAATCGCTGGCTGCTGCTGCCAAAAGGGGCCGGGGCCTGTGTAAGGGGTTGGGGCTCAGGCAAGGTAATGTTTTTTTTTTATTTGCAGCTGCTGCTGCTGCCTGTCATCGCAGGTTATTGTGCTTGTTGTTCTTTTTGTATATGTGTATGCGTCAGCTGTTCGTCTTTCATTTCAATCTCTGCTTTAACTTACCTTAAATTTAATTGTTTAGCTATATAAATTCGTCCTGAGCAGGCGGGTCACATACAAAAACACACTTGCTCATACACCTTCACATGCACACACACATACACACACACACTAACGCACGTTTTTTGCACGTTTTATAATGAATAAGTTGTTTGTGTTTTTATTGGATTTTGGCTGTTACATGACATCGGGTCAGTTTTGTTGCGATTTTTGAAATTAATTAATTTATGTAAATTAACTACACTATGTACACAATTATAGACGTATTTTGTTTGAAATATATACAAAAACAAAACGCGAAAAACGAAAGGTTCCCGTCGTCGTTCACGCGCACACCACCCACACGACGTGCCACACTCTCGGACGTGGAAAAACAAATGAACGCACGTCCGCTCGCGTTTCTTAGCAGAGCGCAGTTCCGTTAGTGAACGAACTAGTTACCCTGAACCGATGCTAAACAGCAAAATGTTGAACGAAAAGATGCTTGCATTCAATAAGTTAAATAAAAACAAATTTTAAAAAAAATTAGGTGCAACATTTTAAATGTTAAGCAGTCACTCCATCTGTTTTTAATGGAATTGCTATTTATATAAATGGATTTGTTATTTAACATAATTAATACAAAAATCTGTTCGGAATATAATAAATGTATTTTTCGTAGAATACATGAACCACAAAATGTTGATATTCGAATGCAACTATTTCAAAATCGTCAACTTTTAAGTGAATTCATAAATAGAGTTTTTAAATTGTTAGTATAACGAAAAATTCACAATATTTGAAAATAAAATACACTAAGTTTTAAAAAACTTTAAACGCATAACACTGTTAATGTTAAAGTAAATGTTAATGTCAATGTCAAATTAACTGAACTGAAAATCGCTCATCACGATGTTTGGATCAGATGAACTGTGAACCAAACATTTATCGAATATCAATAGGCAACAAGCACATTTTTGGCGCCAACTGGGCTTGGTTTTGTTTTTAGTATTTTATTTGACTGAACATTTATTGATAGTAAAATGACGACGTAAGACCATTACAAATACAATTATTGTTGAATTGCAAGTATGTCACAATTAGTATACTCGTGTCTGTTTCTTGAATGTGCATTAGTAAGTACATATGTATTAGTATCACTTTGATTTTAAACTCAATTCAAACATCGCTTAACCCATGGTTGCCAAATGTTTATTGGTACCGACGGCGCCGGCGGGCGCATCGTTTGCCACACAAGTCGGTATAGCGCTAGACCATTTGCCATTCTTCATGCACTTGAGTACCTTCGAGCCGCGCAGCTCGAGGCCCGCGTCGCAGGTGAAGGTAATGCTCTCGCCGATGGCATAGTAGAACTTGACCGAGGACATGCGTCCGCTGATCGCGGTGCCCGGATACGAACAGGCCTGCACACATTTGGGCAAACCGCCCGACCAGCGTCCGTTATCCTGACAGGCAATTATTGGCTGACCTTGCATCATGTATTCCGGGTTGCAATTGAATTGGACCACGTCGCCGGCACGATATGGTGCCGAGCCCTGGGCGTAACCGTTTTGCGGCGCACCAGGATTATCGCATTGCACTTCGACACATGTTGGAAACGGTGTCGCCCATTCGCCCGTAGGCAAACAGATGGCCTCAGATGGGCCGCGCAATCCGTAACCCGTGGAGCAGGAGAATGCCGCTCGTCCGCCCACCTCACGCGACAGCACGGAAACGCGCGGCGAGCTAACATTGTTCGGCATCAGCGGTATATCGCCGCACTCCACGCTTTCGCAAACCGGCAACAGCGCGCTCCAATTGCCACTGGGTAAACAAAACAGCTCCGATGCGCCAATCAACGAGTTGCCATTCGAACAGGACAACAGCACGCGTGTGCTCAGTTTCGTATCGTTCGTATTGACTATCAAGCCACGCCTTATGGGTATCTCTGGGCAATTGATTTCCTTGACCACCACCTCAACGGCATGCTCATGCCGGGCGGGTGTCATGCAGGAGTAGGTGCCGGAGTCCTCGGCCACCGCATCGAATATGCTCAGACGATATTCCAGCGTTGAATCTCGCCCCTCATCCGCCTCCGTCACCCAGCCCTCGGTATAGTTTCTGGAATAGCGTGATAAATTAAATGACTTTTGGCGCTAATCCAGCTGATACCCACTTGTAGACATGACTGACATTCCACTTGGGATTACCAAAGCGGCGCATCCACAGGCATTCCATGTGCAGCGTGGTGCCCGGATATACGATGAGCTTGCCATCGTTGCTCTGGGCGATGGGTCCGTTCTGATGCCGGAACAGTATGGTGGGCGCCTTCTCCACTGCGGTCGAAGTAAGTTTTATGATCGGCAACAAAAATTTGCTGAAAATAATACATACTCGCATAATCATTTTCCTGATTAAGACCCGAGCACACGGGCTTCGTGTTGGTCCACTCCGAGTGGATGCAGGTCCGGTCGTGGCTGCCTGTCATCGAGAACTTGCCAATGTCTACGCATCTGGAAAATGGATTGCACAGAGTTAGCTGCGTCCAGCTTGGTCAATGGGACGCACCTGGATATAATGGTAGCACCTGGAGGAAACTCCACGACGTCCTCTCTAATTTCCAGATCATTGTAAAAGCTGACCACATTCGCTTCGTTGTTTTTGAATAAACACGTGCCGTTTTCTGTTTAATGGATATTTGAAAATTGTGGAGCTCATGGATCCGAGATTAACCGAACCTACCGCAGTTGTAGGAGCGTCCCACCCACTGCCCGTTGTCGCATATGATGCGCCAGGTCTGACGATCGCCGGCGGCATTGGGTATGCAATTGAAGAATATCTCTGTGCCGCTTTCGTAGGCGCCTTCAATCTCCGCATGGTCGGCGTTTCTGGAGCAGATTGTTGGAAAGTGGTTACTTGAGTCTCGACCGGAGCCGGAGGCATTGCGACTCACTTGTAAACCAGGGCGCCGTCCGTCAAGCTGGGATGGCCGCACATTTTCAGCTCATCTCCGTGATCCTCCGTGTTGTTATCGTGCAGATGTTGCAGCTCGTCCAGCTCGTGCTCGATTTTCGTGTGTGCTGTGGACGTGGGCGTGGCATGCTCCAGCTCCTCCCGAGATTTGCGCAAGCCCGACTCGCAGGGTATACTAGGAGGGGTTAGGACGCCCTTCAGACAAGACATCTCGATGGGATTGGCATTGGTGGACAGTTCACAGCGAACGCTGACCGTGCTGCCATGGCCAATGGTGAGGCCAGCTCGATAACCGCCCTGTGCAGAAATGTGAGTAAGGATTGGGAGGTTGGAAGATTGGCCAACTTGCCTCGTAGATGACGCCGGGTATGTTGGGCAGCGTGCACGGCAGGGAGGTGCATTCGGAGAAGGCGTTGACCGACCAGGAGCCATGGGCGCAACGCAGCTGGGCGGATCCCTGAAAGTCAGCGATGGCATAAGGGCAGCTTGTGGGAAGACCATGAACTAACCTGGATGTTGAATCCCTCCTCGCACTCGAGAGTTATGAACTCATTGGATTGGATCTCCTCGTAGGTGGAGAGCGGCGTCAGGGAGGGCTTATCGCTCAGCTGCTTGGTGTGCGGCTCCACTTTGTAGTACTTGCCATGCTCCACTGCCGGCACCAGGCACGGGGCCGACATGCACTTCGGCGTATCCGGCTTCCAGATGCCGCGGATGCAACGAGCCGTCGCATTCTCGCCCTTGATGTTCAGTTTGAAGCCCGCATTGCACTCCAGATGCAGCATAATGCCTACCGAGCTCCTGCCCGGCGCCTTACCCGGTCGCACCGTGGTTATATTAGCAAACGAATCCCAGTCGAGATCCTCGCAAGGACCACGTAGCCGCTTGCCGCCGGCAGCCTTGCCCACCTCGCCGCCATCACTCGTATCCAGGTCGGCATCGGGCAGCGTGGCGGACGAGGACGCGGACGCCGTGGAGCCGCTGCGCTTGCGGCGACGACGCACGATTTGGGACTTTAGCTGTTCGATTAAAGCGCGTGTCGTATTCCTGGTGTCGGGTGCTGGTGCCTCATTGGAACTGGGCGACGAGCGATGACGCGAGCTCTGATTTATGTTGGGCAAGGTGAGGACACCGCCACGATGCTCGTTCATGTCCCCATAGTCATCGAGGTCGGCTTCGCCATCGGCTGCATTGCGCCACTTGTGGGTGGCCTTGCGCATCATGACCAGCTCCGGATTGTTGTACTGGTTGTACCAGCGTCCGTCCTGGACGTGCATCTGCTTGTATAGGCGATTGTGGCCCAGTATCTTGCGCACATAGCGCAGGTAGCGCTCCTTGATCTTCTGATAGTACTTGGAGTAGGCCACATCAATGTCCGACGGATTGGGATTGGGATGGGCGCTGCGCTTAACCCTGCTTTCACCCGCCGTTCCAGCTGTAAAAAAAATGCTACTGATGGGATTCACATGAAAGCAGCTCCGAACTCCGAACTCACCCGGCCGTGCGAAATCCTTGTGCTCGGCCAATTGGCGTTGGAGCTGACGCTGACGCCGCAGCAGATAGACGGAGCGCAGCTGGCGCAGCTGCACTGAGCGCCGGCGGCGACGATTCCAGCGCAAACGCGGATGCTGGCCAAGTAGACACTGCGGCAGATCCAGTGGACGCCATTTGCCGCCCACACAGGTAGCGCCAGGCGGGCCCACCTGAAAAAATGGTCATGAAACCGAATTAGGAATGGTAAGGAATGAGTTTTGGTTACCTCCAGGACGTAGCCCTTGTCGCAGTCGTACATAATCTGCTTGTTGTTGACAATCTTCTTGACATACGGCCGATAATCGTAGAGTCCCATATTGCCGACGAGCAGCACCTTGCCATTGGGTATGTAACCAGGAAAGGAGCAGAAGACCTCATCGCATTTGGGCGTCTCGCCGGTCCAGTTGCCGAAGGAGCACGTAAGCACATAGTCGTGCGGATCGGTTATGTCCTTGCCCTCGGGACTGACCAGCTTAAAGCCATCCTTGCACTTGAACCTCGCCTTCATGCCGTGCTCCGTCTTGGGAGCCATTACCATGCCATGCTTCGGCGGCTTGGGCATGCTCTTGCAGCGTGCGGGCACACAACGTGGTATGATGCTCCAGGTGCCATTGTTGCAGGTTGGCGGACTCAGTAGCGAGACAGGAAACTCATAGTTCTCATCGCACTTGACCTCCAGCGCGGTGCCGTGCCTGACCTTCTCCACGCCGCCCACAATTTGGGTGGGCGATGGCGTTGTGGTCGTCGTGGGCGTGACTATCGTTGTCCCATTCTCATCGGTTGTTATCTCAATGGGTATGACAAAGCCCTGTGATATGGTGGGCACAACGCAAGGCGCCAGACACTCGGGCAGGGCATTGCGCCAGCGTCCATCGATTTGGCAGACACTCGAGCCCAAGCCGTTGATCAACATTTCCGGCTGGCAGCGAAAGATAATGCTGGCGCCCAGGCCCGTGCCCGCCTCGATATTCTCGATCCAGCCATTATACAACACGCCCGGATGTCCGCAGTTGATCTCTGCAAGAAGCTGGCTAACAGATATCCATATACAAGAGCTGCAAGTACGTACCCTTGCAGCTGGGCACGGTGCCGCTCCACTTGGCGCTGGCTCCGCAGCGGCTGGAGCTCTCGCCCACCAGGGTGTAGCCATAACGGCATTCATAGCTAACCACCGAGTTGTAGGCCAAGGTTGTGTACGTAGCCTTGCCGTTCTTGGGATTCTCCGGCGTAGGACAGACCACAGAAGTGACCACTGCGAAGACAAGGATGAGGGGAAATTAGAAGCGGGGTTGGGGGCTGGCTTAAAAGCTATCACAAATCTCATGGACCGCCAACAAATAAAACAACTCGGGTTTGGTTTCAAGTTATTCTCAAGATTTGTGGTAACTTTTATTTATTCAATTAACATTTTGTGGGCCAACAACAACAACTTTTTTTTGCATAAAATTTGAACAATTCGTTATATTATTGAATGAAGAACGACAATATTAACAATTTTGGCTAGGAGCATCGGAAAAGCTGAGCTCGGAACAAATTGCAAACTATTCGGAAGCTCTAATTGGGCCTGGTTGGGTCGTAGTTAGATTTGCGTTAATGTTATCCGCTTTTTGGGGGTTGATAAATTATAAAGACATAATAAATTATAATATCTACCGGCCGATAAATGGACGCATTATACTCACAGACACAGGTCGGCAGCTCCTTGGGCGTCCAGGAGCCATCCGATTGACAGTAGCGCTCGTGCTTGCCCACCAGCTCGTAGCCCGTGCCGCAGTTGTAGGTTATCTTGCAGCCATAGGTGTAGCACTCGCCGGCGTGCCAGCCATAGGCGGGATCCGGAGGTTGTCCACAGGAACGAGCTGGAAACGGAGGTAAAGTAAAGCAGGTTGAATTTAATTTAATTAACATTAATCGTTGTTATATTTTATGGAAACTGGAAAAACCCGCTTCAGATTTGCACAGATAGCAGAGGCTCGAAATTGGAGAGGATGCAGACTAGACAGGATGGGATTGTCCTAGCTGAAGGATCAGACTCGATTTTATAGTGTAAAAATGATTGCTTTTTTGAGGGAGCTGAACTATTAATGTTATTATATATATAATTTTCTAGTATGTCATTTTTTATTATATATAATTTTGTATTATATATATTTTAATTATATATGTTTTTTTATTTTATATATTTTTTTTTAATATATTTTTTATTATATATATTTTTTTATTATATATATTTTATTAAATATTTATTTTTTTATTTTTTTTTTATATATATTTATTTTTTTATTTAATTTATTGTTTTTTTATATTTATTTTTTTATTTTATTTTTTTTTTATATATATATATTTTTTTATATATATTTTTTTTAATATTTATTTTTATTTATTATATATATTTTTTTTTAATATTTATTTTTATTTATTATATATATTTTTTTATTATATATATTTTTTTTATTATATATTTTTTTTTATTATCTATATTTTTTATTATATATTTTTTTTTATTATATATATTTTTTATTTTATTTTTTTATATTTATTTTTATTATATAATTTAATAATAATAATAATAATAATAATAATAATATAATAATAATAAAAAATCTCTACTGTTAATGCAATCGCATTCTTTTTTGTGTTAAAAATAAATTTAAAATTCGAACTCATTTGGGCAACCAAAACTAATGTGAAAAAAATATGAATAAGAATTGCACTTTTTATATTATTATATTTAAGAATTCCAGATTTGAATGCACTTACGTTCGCACTGTATGTCCGGTCCGTACCAGCTGGCCAGATTGTCAATGGCCAGGCACTTGGCACGTGGAAACCCGTTGGTCACATAGCCCGTATAGCAATGGTATTGAACCGTTGAGTCCAGGTCGAAGGTTTCCTGCTCGGGCAGTGCCGAGTTGCGTGCGTGTTCAATCTGCGGCGGCTTCAGGCAGTAGACTATGGAAAATGCAGGATAACCATAAGGATTTGCTTGTTGGGATAGCTTGGCTGGGCTTACTGTTCTGCTTGCAGGCTGGCTCGGCGCCGGCCCAGTTGCCATCGGCCTGGCAGAGGCGACTCTGCAGGCCCACCACATGGTAGCCATGTGGACAGGAGTAGGAAGCGCGAGCACCGAAATGACGACCGGCAACGGTGACCTGTCCCAGACTGGGTTGGGCTAGCTCTGGACATTCACGATCTACGGCAGGTGATCAAATTATAAGCGAGCAATTGATTTGGCATTAAGATATGATTATTTTGCAGACTCACCCGGCTTGATGCAGGAATTGCCGCAGACGCCATCGCATAGGCATTTCTTTTTCTTGCTCTTGCAATCCTCATCCGACGAGCACTTGCGCAAACATTTCTGGCCTAACAGCGTGGCCTGCTCCTCATCCCGCGGGCACTCCGTGGAGGGTGAATTGCGCGGATTCTTATAGACGCGCCCATCATCATCGGACTCCAACGAATCGTCGCCCTCGTCCCAGTCGTCGTCGTCATCATCCTGTTGCGGTATCTCCGTGGTGGTCTGTCCGCTCACCACGGTTGTCTGGCTGGTGGGCACCGAGATGACTGCAAAAAGCGTAAAATAAACGTTGAATATGGCGTTTGACACACTCCTCCAACAAGTATCTAGATGTCACTGAACCAGCCCCATTATCTGCCCCTTTGTTTTGATTCTCGTTTCTCTTCTCTCTGTTTTGCTCAGCTGCCTCTCCCAAGCAGAGGCTCTGCTGCCCGACTTGTCCTCGACAACATTGACCCATTTAGGTTGACGTAGTCAGTCCGTCAGTTGGTCGGGCTGTCCAGGCAGCATTCGGAGCCTGCGCATTGAGCACCTGCTTATATAACCAGCAGCATATACATTTTTCAGCTTTTCCCGTCAGCTAACTTTTAGCATATAATTTAATTATTTAAAAATCGAATTAAGTATTTGTTGTAATTGTTGCAACAATTTGCTACTGTAACAGATTAGTTTTCACCTTTGTAGACCAGAATCGTGGTCACCAGACATTGCAGCAGCAGACGATTCATTTTGAAAACCGTTTTTTAACTTGTTTCTGTTTTTTTCTTTTCCTAATTGGGTTTTACATCTGTAGAATTTGGTGTGCTATTTTGATAAGTTATAGCAATTTATTGCGAATTTTGAGAGGAGTTTACAAAACTGCAGACTGCACACTTTGGCGAAACAACGCGAAATGCAGCTCAGCTGCTGAAATTTTGGACATTTTGCTCTCGGAGTGCGACGCGAGGCGAGAGCAGCATCCATTTTGACAGGCACAGGATGCGTCCGGCTAAGTTGCGGGTTTGTGTCCATGCTAAACACTCCGAAAGCATCGAATGCCATGTTTATGTTGGATATTAACAAATGTTGCATTCTCTCATTCTAGACATATGAAAATTAAGATCTTAGATAAATTCAAATCTTTTATTTGTGCTCGAGCTTTTCTTTGCAAATAACTCACATTTTCTATCCCGCCAACTTTAACGGTCAGATTCAAACACTTATTTTAGCTACCCTTTTCCAGTTGCTGCTACACTTTTCCTCACCTCAAATGCAGCCCTCGCTAAGAACGTGGGAGAGCGTGAAAGCTTTCGCTTGAAAAGCTTTCGCCACACGTTTCTTCGTCGAGAAATTTTCCAACGCTCACAGGCAGAACGACGCACGGCACGGAGCATAACGCACAAAACGGGAAAATTACTATCTGAAGCGCGAAAACGAAAGAAGTGGGGTGGGGACAAAAACAATATTATTTTTTTTTGTGTGTTGCCGAAAATGTCTTAGTGTAAATGTGCGGCGAGCGTTTTTATTAAGCAATTAATTGAGAGTGCTGTGTTATAAAAAAGTGAAACAAAAACAAATAACGGCAAGTGCAAGTGCAGTGGGTGGAAATGTTTTAAATTTGTTCGCTTTGTGTTCGGGTTAGGGTTCGGGTCGGGTTCGGGTTTGGGCTTCGGGTTTGGGCTTCGGGTTTTGGTTGCGGTGTACGGCGGGGAGTGAGGGGCGCGTGCGGAAAGCGCGTAAAGAAAAGTAAGTGCCAGAATTTGTGTATTAAAATAAATCAAAAAACCAACTAAGCGATGCATACACACAAGCACACCCCCACCCCCTCTCGCACACACACATGAGCACACAAAAGCGCACACATATGCGAGCAGTGTAAGTGACATATGCGCAAAAAAAAAAAATATAACATTATTATTACTATTCAAGGAATGCTTGGACAAATTAATTGCTATTGAGAGATTTCAAAAAGTGCGACAAATGCGCGACAAAATGTCGAATCCAAGAGCCAAATAAAAAACAAAATGTTCTAAACACATACATATGTATGTACATATGTGTGTATGTCTGTTCATACATGTGTATTGAGTGCTGTGTGTATTTGAAACAAGTTTATTTATAGAGCAACTGAATAAAAAAGGTGGCACGATTGAAAATATTTTGATAGCCAATAAATATTCAACCATAAGAAAAAAAAATTGTTATATGCTGCCAGCGGCAGCGCAGAAGACATTGAATCCGCAAGAGGTCAGCCGCTTGCGCGTCAACAATTTTCAAGCGTGTACACAAAAATCCAAACCAAAAAGCGAGACCAAGACCAGACCAGACCAGACCAAGACCAAGACCAGGCCAGACCACCAGAGCAACGAACCAGCCAGCCAGCCAGCCAACCACCCACCCACCCATAAGGCGGCCACTTGATTAACGCCAATGCCAATTTGAACGCAGAAAATCTCTATAAAAGTTCAGCAGAGAGCATGCGTTCGGTGAGCGAGCTTTCGCTCTCTTTGCTGCTCTCTCTCTCTCTCTCTGCCTCTTGCGCTCTTGCCCTCTCTTCGCACAGGACGCAAAGTATTCTCTTTTTTTTGTTTTTGTCATTGACCTGTTGTGGAAGTGAAAGACTCAAAATACTCGAAAAATGAACGACAATTAGGCTGAAACAAAAGGAAATCTTTAACGACATATTGAAATACATATTTGTATGCATTTTGCGCTGTTATAAAAAAGAGCTGCCGCCTGTGCGTAATTGCTTGCCCTCCCCCCTCCATTGTTTTACCAGTGTGTACCTGGCGTAAAATGAAAGCCTAGGCTTTTTCAAATGCCACATCCCTGCAGGTCGATGTAAATCGATATGGGGACACTCCACGGGAACCCAAGCACCATGAGATACTCTGCATATAAATAACAAATACTTATAATTCATGAAAAAAAAGTGGAGCTAAGAATTTTTGTAAATCGTAATTCCAAGCTGCAAATGAACTTAAAAATGCATTTGCAATTAACATATTTACTTGGCAACAATTAATTAATTTTATGCAATGAAGTTGACAACACTCTGCACAATTTATCCACTTGTTAGGATAATTAAGTTTCCTTTTCAATTGCAGGACATAAATAGTTAATTTTAACTTAATTAAGGTTAAAAGGTTAACCATGGGCAACGTGTGCAGCTCCGGCCAGAAGAAAAAGAAGGACAAGGACAGCTCATCCGAGAAATCAGATGAGTACGTTTATTGCACAATTCATGCCCGAAATTTCCTTCAGACCATTATGTTGATTGCTTTACAGCTCCCCACCCTACGAGGAAGCCGGCGCAGATAAAAAGGAGGCGCTGCTAACACACGATGCCAACGACATCAAGGAGAGGAGAGCGCCGCTGGCCGATGTGGAGGCTTTGCCGGAGGCGACGCAGATCAATGACACATATGGCAATCAGCAGCAACAGCAGCAGCAGCAGCAGCAGCAGCAGCAGCAGCGCCCACATCAGATGCCTCAGCCGAAGCCCATTGCATCAGAGAAGGGTGAGCCCTTGGCTAGCAGCAAATATATTTGTGGTCCATTGTGACATGAGCTTCTCGATAATTGCAGACTCCAACAGCACGACACCGCAGGGGGCGCAGGCGCCTAGCGATGTGGCCAATGTTAGTCCGGGCATGAGCAATCTGAGCATGCTGCAGGGCAAGCCTCCTCCCGGCCGCAAAATCGAGCGCGACAAGAAGATTGTCATCTATATACTGGCCGACAACAGCACCGAGTACAAGAAGCACAAGCGTGTCATCTACAGCCTGTACAAACATTTTAAAAGCAAGTGCCAAAGCAAAGGATTCGACTTTATTATTGCCGATGTGCACGATAGCGAGTCGACGGCAAAGGATGCGGCAGCGACGGGGGCGTCGCTGGAGCAGGCGAATGGCAATCCCAAAAAGGACTTCTCAAGGCTGCAGGAGGTCAAGCGCTGGACGCAAACGCCGCTGGAGGCACAGGGCGGTCACGAGGAGGCAGCCAATTGCCTGTGTGAAATAACCCGCCATGCGACCGGAGCCTACATCATACCCGTGCTATTTCTGGGCTCCACCCTGGGCACACCCATGCTGCCGCTCACAATCGAGAGCCAGGACTTCACCTCGGTACTGAGCGCCGCCAGCGACGCAGAGAAACTGCTGCTGGAGAAATGGTATACAATTGATAACTCGTATCAGCCAATGTGCCATCGGCTGTATACGCAGCAGATCGATCCCTACTCCACGCAGGTCAATGCCGAGCTAAACGAGCTGCTCGCCGTGCTGCTGCGTCTCTTTTCGGACGACGTCAAGGATTCGTATCTGACAACTGTCGTCGAGCAGGAGATCAACAACACGGTGCTGATGAGTCAGGAGCTGGCCAAACGCTGCATTTGGATACAAACAGGTGCCCACTACTCACGCGCCCCGGATAACGCCACCCAGCTGGAGCTCGAGGTGCTGCGGCGCATAACACGCATCTATGCGGAGCTCAAGAGTCAGCTGTGCGAGAAGAATCTCATACGGCTGTTGCCCACCATGAACATCCTCGATGACGAACTGTCTGCGGTGATTGAAAACCTGCTGGACAAATCGCTGGCGGGCATCTTTGAGGAGCATCAGCAAAAGAGCATACCCTACAACACGCTGGGCGTGGACCGCGTCCTGCTCGAAGAGATTCAGCTGATTGGCCACTACTCAAAGCTGCTCGCTCAGAATTCGGCCAATTTTGACATCATGAATGATGTCAAGCGTTACATACGCGATGGAACCGCACAGCCATTGGTCATCTCGGGTGCCCGAGGGAGCGGCAAAAGTGTACTCGTGTCCAAGATTATGGAGAATGTGCATCGTTGGAAGCCGGAGGCACAGCTGGTACTGAGGTGAGTCGAATGAATGAAAGGGAAACCCAACGCGATGTCCACCGAGATGAATTATTTGTCACCAAGTATGTAAATAAATATCCCAAATAGATATTTAAAGACGATCTTGAAGCTGACCCGCCAGCTGGTCAAAAGGTTTCCGCTTCTTTTTCCGACCACGTATGTGAAGAGACACAAATTCAGTAATTAAGTAGGTAGATCTTTGAATTATGACTTTAATCCGTTGGGAGGAAGATATAATCTTCAATCCCCATTTCCCACTCAGAATGAATCTTCTCAAATAATATCAGCTCAACTTTCTTGGAGATTCCCCATAGAATAGATCCCCATACTTCGTGCAAGAGTATAAAATAGTCTGCGACCCGTTGAAGACCTGATGTGCATTGTAATTCTAATCCAAGCAAAATACATGTTTCTTTGCCTTAGATATGCCAACTTGAGCGCACGCTCCTCGGACATCAGCTCGCTGTTTGGGTCCATAGCCAATCAGATGTCGGTGCTCGAGACGGGCCAACAATGTCAGGTGCCACACGTAAGTAGACCGGAGATTAGCACAAAGCCAAAGTTCCAATTTGTACGCTCATCCACAGACACTGGAAGCCTATGCCGGAGTTATAAGGGAGATTTTGGGAAGACAGCAGCGGTTTTTTGTGCTGATTATCGATGGATTGGATGAGCTGCAGTGCGATGTGGCACTGGATTGGCTGCCGATGCAGCTGGGCAGCTGCGGCAAGCTGATATTGACTGTCAGCGAGAAGGAGGACGAAGATGCTAGCGGTGATTCGTTTGATATGCTCGCCGCGCTGGCGCAGCTGGGCATACCGCAGCGTTGTTTTCTTCGTCTGCGCCAGTTCACGGAGCGCCAGTGGCACGATATACTCAGCTCCGGCGGCGGCGACTTCTACGCGGCGAACGGGGCGCTCAAACTGCCCGACGATTGGAAATCGCTGCACGGCAAGACGCCATACCATGCGAAGTCGCTCTGGTGGCTGGCCTGGCTGGGCCATGTGTCGCAGCCGATCAGCGAGATCGGCGACATATCCAGCAAGATACTGCAGGTGCTGGAGAGCAAGTTTGCCGCCGACCAGGTGGAACTGTTGCTTCTGATCGTGCGTCTCTCGCCTTGGGGCATACGCGAGAGCGATTGCTTGGGAGTTTTTCAAAAGATCACACAGCTGGAGGCGCAGGTCGTCTTCAAAATATGGTCCAAGTTCTGTTGGCTGATGGGACCAATGCTTTTAGGTCTTAAGAATATAAGAATAGCGGACAGGAGCTTCGGGCGCGCCGTCCTGGCGAGGTATGCGCAGAAGCAGTGGCTGGTACATGAAGCGCTACGGGACTACTTCGATCGTCAGGACAGCGAGTTTAAGGGCAGCGCTGGCGCAAAAACGTAAGACATCCTCCTCCAATTGATGGCCACATTAAATGCAATACGTACAATTTTCAGCTACAACTACCAGAAGTACTTAAAACTGCCTTATCATCACTTCTGTGCGGTTATTGAGGATAAGCCGGCGGCGCACAAAATCGATATACTCTACAATTGCTTCTACTTTACGGACTTGCAGTGGATAGCCAATAAGGTGCACGCAACGGGGCCGGCGCATCTAATGCATGACATTCTGCATGCCGAGTGGTTGGCTGGCCAGGAGGGATCCAAGGGCTATGTGCATATCAACTTTCTAAAGCAGTTCCTGGTGCGATACCTCCACGAGCTCAGCTATGACGGCCAGCAATTCTACACACTTATGAAATATTATCTGAAGACGCGCTTCAAGGAGTCGTCTGAGCTTAAAGACGATGAGAAAATACGCTCCTGGTGGGAGTATACCAATGAGCTGGAGTTTGCCTTTCTCGAGATACTCAACGCCGATCTCGATGCCAATGACAATGATAAGGGACCAGTTGACGGCGACAATTCCAGCCCAGCCGCTTCAGCCTCTGTCCGGGGCTACGATGTGCTCATGAATCTGCCGCAACCGGGCTGCTATGTGGCGTCCTTGTGTACAGAGCGTGCCGAGATTTGCATCTGGGATGTAAAGAACTGCTGTCGCATACGCGAACTTCAGGGCATACCGCAGCCGACGGCCATGTGTCCAGTTGGTAATTACGAGGCAGCTGTGCTGTGTCGTCGCGAGATTCGGGTCATCAACCTGGACGAGGGCAAGTTTAAGGTAAGATTTTCTATTGAGATAACATCATCTGGAGACTTTGTTGATGTCATCCAATTTTACTCTCGGCAGGTCACGTTAAAGGGCGTGATGAACCAGAAGATGCCCTACTTTGGCCTGCACGATCAGAACCACCTGGTTTGTCTCTCACGCAATCGCATGTATGTGAATCTAATGAATCTGGAGTCGGGCGATTGTGTGACCACCTTTAAGGCGGGCGAGGATCGCTTCCTGAACTCGCTGCTAGTCTCCGGCGATGGACGGTGAGCAGTTATTTGTCGACCACATAAACTTTGACTAAAAATTTGCATTCTTTTTAGGATTTTGGTTTGCGGCGACGAGACGCAGAAGCCATTTCCCCTGCTCGTTTGGCATTTATCGCAACGTAAATTGCTCTACGATCTGCGAATTCCGCATCATGACTTTGTCACCTCGCTGTCAGCCATCACGCATGAGGGTTCTTATGTGTGTGTGGTAGCCAAGGAACTCAACGAGCCAACAACGCCGAATTTCATTGTGGTCTACGATCTGCAGAGCGGTACTTTGTTCAAGAAATGGAAGCCCAGCTGTAATACAGTTGCCCTGGCCATATCCCAAGTGAACGCTTGTGTCATTGCCGGCCTGGAGGATGCCAAGATATTAATATGGGATCTGGTTACGGGCAACTGCAAGTGTACGCTAATTGGACACAATGCGCCTGTCACATACTTGAAACTGGATCCATTGGGCAAAGTGTTGTTGTCGTTCGACAAGGAGGGCCGCGACAGCGCAATACGCATGTGGGAGTTGAGCTCAGGTGAGAAAACTGGTCGAGTTCCAAGTCACTGTTGCCTAACTTCTTCGCTCTTGTTCCCAGCCAAGTCCCTGGCTGTTTTTAAGCCCCCGGCACAGATCAGCACCTGCGAGATATTGCCAAACGGTGCGTTCGTAGTATTGGCCCTCCGAGATCGCAATGATCTGCTGACGCTGGCGCTGAAGAATTATGGTGGCAGCAGCACTGCCAACGCCCTGGAGGATGACTGTGGCACCTTATATGGCAATCCCGACAACCAGCACAAAGTTTTCAACTTAAGTAATTAATGGGGTCAGATACCTGGATCAATTAACATTAGATATCATTATTCAAATTAAAACATACATATATGAAACAAATGAAAAGAAATTATAATTCCGAATGATATAAATATCACAAAAAAGAATCTTCTCATGCATAGTTCATTAGTTGTATGTAAAATTCTTAAAAACTTACCACATGTACAAAAGGCTAAACAAATAACCAAAAAAATAACAAATACAAATTTCATTAAGTCATCTCTGTATATAGCTTTATTGTTGTTCTCGTCTGTTGTAATTTCTGCTCAGGTTGTGGCGAATAAATACAGCAAATTCTTGGCGAACTGAATGATCTCCGTGCCGCCCAGCTTGGAAGTGCCGTAAATGCGATCCACAAAGGATATCGGCACCTCGGCAATGCTGAAGTTATGCTGGCGAGCCCGTACCAACATTTCCATTTGGAAGACGTAGCCCTTTGATACACAGCTGGCTATGCACTTCTCCAGTACCGGTTTCTTATACAGCCGAAATGAGCCCGTCAAATCGCTGGCATTGGGTCGCAAGAGCACTTGGGACAAATAATTGGCACCGCGCGAGATGAGCTTGCGTTTAAAATCCCAGCCGTAAACGCCGCCGTTTCCGGCATATCGTGTGCCGGAAACGATGTCATAGTCGCCAGACTCTTGCAGCTTTATGAACTCGGGTATGAACTTGGGCTGCAACGAAATAAACAAACAAATATTTGTACCCCATCCACGTAACACGTCATGGCTATAGTCTATGCTCACATGATGACTCAAATCGGCGTCGATGATAATAATAAAGTCGCCGGTGGCGTGTTTAATTCCGTGAACGTAGGCTGTGCCTAGGCCGAGCTTGCCTGCGCGCGGACGTAAGACAATTCTTTCCTCGCCATAGATCTTCTGCAAATCCTTAGCCACGTCCAATGTGCCATCCGGACTGCCATCGTCAATAACAATCACCTCGTACTCGTAGCCGCTGGAAAGACAATTTTAGTCGAGTTGTCAGCTAAATAGTATGTCATGTGCTCACCTAGCTTTCATATATTTCACAATAAGCCATATAATAATTGGCAAATTGTCTTTCTCATTGTATGTTGGCAGCAAAATGCTGTATTTGTGGCCATTTGTTGGCATTTTGTTTTGCTTACACAAATAACATGCCAAACAGAGTTGTTCGGTCGAAGAGCGAACCGGTTGTAAAATAGTTCATTTAGTTCGCTAAGCCTCCAATGGAACTCAAATGAACGACACAAATTAAAACCGAAACAGATAGTAGTGTTGGTAAACACCGTTTTTCAAGCAGCTGATATTTATCGATAACCGTTATCAATAAGCTACAAGAGCAGCAACTGTGCAAACGCCGTTTGGCCGCAGATTCGGTATGAACCGCTCTTTAATTTACGCTTAGTTTGTGCGTCAAGCAATTGACGCTGCTCACGGCAACGCGCAACATACTACTGACTGCATTTAAGTAAATGTGTGCACGTGAAGTTGTATAGTGTTTCTTGCTACATAATGGCCAAGAAAATACCATTCAATGTGGTATTCGCCTCAGGTAAACAAGTCCAAAACATAAGCTCTGTAGAATTGTGCTTTTCATTTCTCCAACTTTTCTTAATGATTGTTTTTCATTGTATTATTTCTCTTAATTTACATTGTGCTTCCAGTTATAGTTACCGCTGGGCTAGTCCAGTTCCGAGCCTAGCGCGCCATTAGGGTTAACTTGAGAAATCGATAAAACACGCATACGCCTAGTGCAACGCCTAATTAAACAACATTCAAAAGTACAATAAAACTGTAAATGCATGGTAACAATGTTTTTTATTTGATTTATTTATTTAGACATAGAACTTGTATATCTTATCTTATGTAAATTATGCTTTGTATGAAGATACTTGAAAGCGTTGCAAACAGATCCATGACAAACTACTTTCCATCTGTAATAATGCATTTTAATCACAGTTTTGTCAGCATATATCTTTATAATGACCGATTGCGGATTGTCATAATACGTCTGGCGTCTGAGCCACATATATATAATTTAATATGCAGCCAAAGAATTTTGGCAGCCGGCCAAGCGCACCGACTTGACAGTTCTTCGAATTGCTTTCATTGAGCTTTACAAAGTTTGTTTTATTTATTTTACTCATACGCCGGGACATCCCATTTTAGCCTCATAACCTCCACCACCATTTCGAAACCCTTCTTACGTGGACTTCTGGCTACTGCTGATGATTTCTTTGCCGTCTGTATCTAAGCTTTGTTAGCAGCGAGCCCAGGGGTCCAATTATGGTCAGCAGGTAGACTAGTGCGGTGGCCAACATCATGGCAGGTATAAACTGATGATCCACATAGCGCGTAAAGAACTTTGAGTAGTAGCCGAGGTAAATTGCGGTCATGCCCAGCGTAAAGGTGACGAGTCCAAACAGATTATGACGAAAACGCAGCTCGGAGGCTGGCATTACTTTCAACACCATTTTGGGCTGGAAAAAGTTAACCAGGCCGCCAACAACGCTCGCGGCGCAGCCGAAGGCAGCGGCCACACCTGAAATGTCAATTAATATTAGAAGTGTTCACTGAACCGTTAAATTTATGCGCACACGCACCGAACCGGCCATGCCAGGTATTGAAGTGCACGTCCTTCTGGGAGAACTTGCCCAGGGCGCCTAGCAACACCATTGAGCCGCCGACCAGCTGCAGCAGGCCATGGAAACGCGACTTGTTCTTGTGCGATATCCAGCGGGTTATCGGATTTAGCTTGTAGTGCGACATCAATGCCTGCGCAATCAGTACATGAAACTACAAAATAAAGGTATAAAGGTTACAAAATCAATGATAAGTTAACAGTTAGCAGAGCGCGCGACATGATAACCATGAAACGGCCATTTCAGGAGACTTAGTGGACATTTATTAAGCCTGATATTGATAAAGTCTTGAGTTACTTACACCGATGCCCGTCATGAACATGTGCATGGCCGTGTCCTGAAAGTCCAGACTGCGGGCCAGTGTGAAGAAGAAGACAGCTACTAGAAAGATCAGCATATGATTTATGCTATTCAATATGCTTTGAATTTGCAGCCATGCGGATGACATCGGCGATAATTTTGTAGTTTGCGGCATATTTGTTAATTTGCCCGATAAAAATTACAAACTCTATTAGACAAATTTCGATGTGCTGCGGCCCAGGCTACAGACGCGACTAGCGCAAAGCTACCTCGGCTACGCGTATAATAGTGCGGCAGATGATAAGACGGAGCGTCGACGCGTCGCCAGCGCCACGTATATGTGTAGATGTGTGTACCTGAATGATAGCGTCATTCGAATGTTTTTTTTTGTTTGTGAGTTGCGGCTTAGTTTTACATCTGCTCAAGCTGATAACAGTTAACATTTGTTGTGATGTTGCTTACAGTAAACGTTGTTAACCAACACTGTTTATCCAAATAAATTGTTGCCACTGTTTTGTTTTCCAGACGAGGACGCCGGCTTCCCGGCCAGCGAACTAAACACACATGGCCCCACGGTGCACGGCTGGCGCAGTGCCGTGGACAGCGGATTAAGCACGCACGACATCATTCTCCGTTTCCAGCAACCTGCCAAGATTTATCGCATTCAGCTCTTGGCACATCAGTACTTGATACGTGAGTTGAGAGCCCGCTAACAATGTTGGATAACAAATTATTGTTTCTGATTGCAGCCGAAAAGGTGGAGCTCTGGCTACACTATTCTCCAAAGTCGATACCCAGCACTCCGTCCTCGCAGTATTTTGATTTTCTTGGATTTGTCGCCCTCGCCGACAATGCGAACACCAACTACAAATCGCGTGAGCTCCAGAGCGTTACTGTGAATCCAAGGCGTGGCACGCATCTGAAGCTGCGGCTGATTGGTGCCCATTGCAATGAGTTCAACGATAGTCAACAGATTGCGCTCATGGCGGTCAATGTGCTCGGTGAGGATCTGGAATCGGCTGCCATAAACGATGGTGACGAGCATCTGGCCAGCGAGACGCCGCCTATAGACACCGCCACTGGTGAACTGGCTCTCGCCTCCGTGTGTGATGACCTTTTATTTTCAATGTACGTGGAAGAGTCAATTGTGCAGTACATACGCGAGCTGGAGCAGTGCAAGCTGAAGGCGGTCAGCTCCGAACGCTTTGAATATGCCCGCAAGCTGAAGCTTTGCATGACGGCTCTGCGAACGGCAGGCGAGCGCCTGGGCCGATATGCGCTGGCCAAGCGCCAGGCGGTGCAGCAAGAAGACTTTAGCGCAGCCAAGCTGCGCAAGGAGCAGATCGAAATGTATCGCGCGTGCGTACTCAAGCAGCTGCAAGTGCATAAGCTGCTCGAAACCGATGGGGCACTTAGCCAAAACGATCAGAGCTGCGAAATCTATGCGGGCGGCAAACCAAGTCTGCCGCCCGCACCTAGCCTGCAGGATGTGGCACATGCTCTGGCCGAGGCTGCCAACAGTCCGAAACGCACCAGTACCCAGCTTGAGAAATCACCTATTGACGTCTCCAGCCATGATGTCGTGAGCGCCGTTGTCGCGCCGGCTGCTGCAGTGCATCTGCTGGCCAAGTCGCACGACGAGTTGCCCCAATCGCCCCGGCTGCCAATGGCATCGCGGCACAGCTCACCCATGTCCAGTCGACAAGGATCGCTGAGACGGCGCAATAAAAGTGCACCGCGCAACTCCTACGAGGATTACGAGGAGCGAGCTATTCCCACCCTGAGGCAGTAAGTTTTAAGCAAACTGTAGCTAGTGTTGTTGTCGTTGTTGTTGTTGTGGTTAGGAATAGCGAGAATGTTGCATGATTCGGCATGAGGTATAAACGAACAACATAATCATAACACTTATAGACCCGCCATTTAAAAGACCGTAAGAGTAATCGTCATCGATGTTTTTGGTGCTTTCGTTTCGTTTCATTTCTCTTTTCCCGTAAACGTTGTCGTTCCGTTACCTTAACCATTTAGCTCAAATACTAATGAATTTTTAAGGGAGTGCCAGGGCAATGCGCTGCTCGAAGCGGACCCAAATCGCAGTCGCTCGCGTCTCAACGATCGCGAGCGTCGCCAGGCAGCGTTGCCCATCCTGGTCTTTGGCAGTGAACTGGTAAGCTTTGTCCTTTTGCCGTACGTTCATAATAACTATCTCTGTATCGATTTTTTTTAGGTTGAGCAGTTCTACTCTCGCCAGTTTCAGGATCGGGAGGATGGTCTGCTGCGCCTGCGCAACTTTCTCAAAGAGCGGGAAAAAGTGGAAGCGGAGGGCAATGAGCATGCGGCCAGTCCAAACAAGGTGGCACGCAGCGCTGCGCTTCTGCTGCATCGCGCCGTTCGAGATGCTGTTTACTCTGTTTTTAGCCAGGCAACTGAAACAGTTCGTGTGTTGTTCCTTGAATATGTGCCAGGCCGTGTCTCACCCAACGAGGTGGCGCGGTGCGTAGATCGTCTGCTGCCCGAGCTGCTGGCCAAGTCGGGTGATCCCTCGGCCCGTTTGCACACGCTGGCACAGCACACAATACTCAGTATTGCCGCCTGTCCGCAGGTGACCGAGCAAAACCTGGTGGCGCCAGCGCTATCGCGTAGCGTTGGCTCTGGTACGCATCAGCGTTTGGCCATGAGCCGATTGCAAATGCTGGAACAGCTGGTTCATACACAAGGCATAAGCTCAGATAAGCACAGCGGATTAACCTGTCGCGCGTTGTCCGACTGCGGCTGCTCCGGCATACATCATCCCGCGGAGCCGGTACGCAAAGTGGCTGAACGCATTTTGCTGCTTGTCTACAAAGTAAATCCCCGACTTGTGCGTAAGCAGCTACCACCAGACGACGACATCACCAGACGCAACCTGCTCTATCGTCAGCTCTTCACGGAGTTTGATAAACTGGACTTGGAACGCAAACAGGAGCTACTCGAAGGCAGTAAATACGTTGACGGCTACAATCCAAGCAATGGCGCGGATTTCATGCAGCCCTCGACCAGCACAGATGCATCTCGCATATTGAAAAGCATGAACGGTGGGGCTGGTGCGAACGACAATGGCTATGTAAGCTGCAATGGCAAGCAGCAGTACAACGAGCAACTGAAGCGTTCTATGCAGTCGGCAACGAACTCGCGCAAGGGATCAGCCACTAACTCCGAGTCTACTGAGGAGGCAACACCGAAAATGTGAGTACAGCCGGTGATGTAATTATTTTCATTAATTGCCCAAACATTCATTATAGCAATTGCCCGTTCTGCGGCTGGTGCTGCTCTGGCAGCGATGCGGGCCAACTAGATCGGCATTATTGGAAGGCTTGTCCATTTCTCACCAAGTGCCCACAATGCAGTCAGGTGCTGGAGGTAGCTGCACTCAACTACCATTTGACAAGTGAGTTTTATTGTGATCCCTAGCATAAGCGCATTCTACAATTTTTCAACTCGAACTACAGCGGAATGTGAAGCCAAGGATAGTTATGTGGTGTGCACTCGCTGCACGGAGTCGGTGCATAAACAGCTTTATGAACTGCATCAGATGGAGGACTTTTGCCGCGGTACGTACTTTATCTCGGTCAGCTTGTTATTTATAAAGGATATGTATTTGATTTATTTTAGAGTTGAAAACGGGCGCCGCTCGCTGTCCACTTTGCCATGATGATGTACATCTGCCCTTGGATGGCGGTTGGAAGCTGCATCTCCTAAGCGCAGGCGGCTGTCCAGGCAATATACGTAAACGGAATTTAAAGAAAGCAAACTAAACAAATATCCTAGGACAAAAGTCATCAATAACCATCCTCTCATTAGGGAATATTCACAACTTTGAGCGAGTTTATCACAAGCCAACGGCCATTAGCGTAATTTAAATCAATTTTTATTACATACATTGCATTTAGAGCAAATTTTGTTATGAGACCTGGCTAACGCCAGCATTACTTATGCTTTATATTTTGTTACACTTTATTTAAGTCTATATGTTTTCTACGCAATGTGATTTGTTAACTTTACATAACACGAATTTCCAAACGTCCTACATAAAAATAAAGCCAATCGAGAGTAATTTTAAATATGAATTTAAAGTCCGCTAATTATTCGATATATTTGAGCCCTTGGTGTTATCGAGCACTGATAACAACGTCGATTCTTGGCCGATCTGGCAGCACTGTGGCATTAAGAGCAAGCTTATCGCAAGGCAATCAATTGGCTCCTAACAAGCATAACCATCAATAGATAATATTAATAGACGAATATTTAATAATAGTTTTAATATATAGAAATATTTAAGTTAATAGACATAAATACCATCTCTAAATAGGTGATTGCGTCAAAGTGTGTTGCAAAACAACCCCCAAGCCAGCTGAGTGTATCTGTGTAAGTGTGCGTCAGTATTACAGCGTGTGTATAAATGCGTGTAAGTTGTGTGCGTGTGTGCGTGTGTGCGTGTGCCTTATGCGTGAAAAGACAGCCGGCAAGTAATATTTTGTTGTTGTATTTTTGAAAAAAATAGCGAATTGTGCACGCTCTTAAATTGGCCATTTGATTGGTGCTTGCCTGTGAAAGCAGTTCTCCTGTGCAAACCAGTTAACGATGCGCTGAGCATTGACAATTAACGTAAAAGCCACAGTCGATTGTCGCAACAACAACTGCGATAGTGGCTCTGCCGCCGTCGTCGTCGTCTCTTTCCCCGCTTGGATATATTCAGTTGATGCGTATGTACACATAAGAGACTGCCCACAGAGCACGTGCACGTTACCCACGCCAACAATTGGAATCTAAAGATGCAGGACGTACGGCAGCAACTGCTTGACTGGCGATACCTGACGCGGGAGCAAATCGATGGCTTTGACAATTACAAGGTAAACGCTAGGGGCGGGAGGGGAATAACGACATCCATAATGATGGCGATCGCCTTTCTTTTATTAATGGATACAGTACAGCGCCATAGACACATCGCCGCTGAGCCAATATGTAATGCATCCCTTTTGGGATTGGCTTGTCAAGGTGAGTAGTTCGCATATTCATATTCATAGCAGCAAAAACAAAAAATCAATAATTCAAATAATGTATGACGCTTTGCTTGCAGTTCTTCCCGCGCTGGTTTGCGCCCAATCTGATGACGTTCCTGGGCTTCCTGTTTAGTGTGATGAACCTGGTGCTGCTCTCCTACTACGACTGGAATTTCGAGGCCAGTTCGGGCGAGGAGGGCACAACGCCAATTCCAACATGGGTTTGGCTATGCGCCGCCATCAATATATTCGTTGCGTACACCCTGGACGGCATTGATGGCAAGCAGGCGCGTCGCATTGGCCTGTCCGGGCCGCTGGGCGAGCTGTTTGATCATGGCCTAGACTCGTACACGGCCATGATTATACCCACATGCCTCTACAGCATATTTGGCCGGAGCAGAGTCTACTCAGTGCGCCCGATGCGCATGTACTACGTCTGCCTAACGGTCTATTTCAACTTCTTCGTGTCGCACTGGGAGAAATACAATACGGGCATATTGTATTTACCGTGGGGCTATGATCTCAGCATGTGGGGCAGCACGGCCATGTACATGTTTACGTGGTGGATGGGCTTCGAGCGCTGGAAATTCGAGCTATCGTTGGGCGCCCTGGGCACCATTCCTCTGGGCAATGTCATGGAGGCAGTACTGCATGTCAGTGCCATGGCCAATCTGCCTCTCGTAATTATCAACGTCTACAAGTGAGTCTCAAATCGATAAACGCCGTGCTCCACAATATATTCCCGTGGTTATTTACAGCTCGTATGCTCAGCGCACCGGCCGATTATTGTCGCCATGGGAGGCGCTGCGTCCGATGTGGCCATTTATAACTTACTTTGTCCTGCTGTTGCTCTGGCCCTTTTTGTCGCCCAACGATATTATGGAAAGGGATCCGCGCGCCATGTTCATGCTAAGCGGCACAATTTTCTCCAACGTTAGCGTAAGTCTGTTGCCTAATCACACACATATCATTTAGAATGTTATTTTTGGAACTACTTGGCAAGCACAATGTGGGTCATTACCGATCTCACAATTTTTGCCACCAACCTGCCTTCCAATCACCACGCTGCTATCGTCTATAAACAGTGACTCATGTTAGATATAAGGGTGCGTTGGTCTATTCGTCATTTGGGGGGTTTTTTCAGCTAAAAATGAAAATTACGAGTATATGAATAATTGCCTAGATAAACATTTTAATTGTTTTGGTGTCCGTCCGGCTGGTTAGATTAACCAATACATATTTCCAACTAGTTTTGATAAGGTAGTCAAAACTCAGCGATGGGCAACAATAAATATTATTTTCATGGAATTAACTTGGTGTATTTCGTGATGCGTTATTTGAGTACAAACTCAACTAAAAGCAACAGAAATTAAAGAATTACATTAAAAATCTGCAGTTCAAAGCAGAACTCGCTAATCGAGAGATATCTTTTCCAAAAAGCTGAAATATCTTAAATGAATTTTGAATATAGATGGGATGAAAATTATTTAGAAAATATAACCCGTTTTTGACCTCCTTGACTTGAATATGGAAAACATTGTGTAATATTGAGCATTCGAGTTGTGACAACTTTATTTGTATGTCTAAAGATAATTCCGATAAACACACATATAACAGCAGAACTCAATATTTACCTTAAGGTATTTCAATTTCAAGTCTTAAGCTATCGGTCAGGTGTCGTTAATTATTAGATTTCGATCAAATTTAGTCAAACTGATAACAAAGTCATAAAGTCTTTTCCCAATATTTGATAATTGATATTTATTGATGTTAAAGCTATCAGAAGGGAAATAACCTGAACTGCCATAGGCAAGCGAGTACTTAAATGGGCCCTATTACATATAATTAAGTATATAACCAATATACCCTTACCAATTGGATTAGCTTTGACAAGTGTATACAAATTGGTGACAATTTCGTAGCCAAAGTTTCAGACGTCAGTTTAGGCTAACTGAATTCAGTGACACATTCTCTCAAAAAACGAGCACACCTTAAGGGAAAACACTTGAAAGAAAGATTTTAAAAATATGCCACCATTTTGCTGTGGTGGTCGGCGCTGTGCCACGCAAAAATTAGAGGATGGGGATGAGCAGGCAGAGTCCCCGATAACCGTCACGGAAGCGGAGAGTCCGTTGACCCTCAAGTTCTATGCCCGTCACGATTGGCCATACTTCAACTGCACCGATGACCAGCTGCGTCGGATAAGTGAAAAGTTCAATCAAAAAGGCCCAGGCCATGCAGATGGTGCCCAGCCAACAGAGAAGCCCAAAACGTACGATCCGAAGCATGCCACAGCACAGCCGCTGACAGAGAATCAAATTTATGGCTGGTATCACCATCGCGCCTATCGCTACCAGCAGGAGGATCGCGGCATTCACGTTTTTCCGCGCGAAGCTGATCCGCTCATCAGGCTGATCCTGGAAACCAATTTAATGGCTAAGGGTTAAGGGCAATCGAAGCAAACAGCTTACCAAGCGACTACAAGAAAGAGGCTTCAGATATGAATTTCTTAGCATTTTTTAACGATTTATACGTACCTATTTTGATATTTTAGTATATTGCGAAAAAATATACTGAGATTAGCCACACATTAGTTGAGTGCAGCTCAAAAGACCAAAACTCACAATTTAATTGCATTTCTTTTTATACCCTGAACCCATTCAAAATGGGTATAAGGGTATTATGTATTTGTGCAAAATCCAAATGTATGTATCAGGCAGAAGGAAGCTTCTCCGATCCCATAAAGTATATATATTCTTGATCAGCATCAATAGCCGAGTCGATCTAGCCATGTCCGTCTGTCTGTCCGTCCGTCCGTCCGTGCGTATTTATGAACGCAAGGATCTCGGAACCTATAAAAGCAAGAGACTTGAAATGCTAGATGTAGATGCTCCTAGTTCCCGCGCAGATCGAGTTTGTTTCCGATAATCGATGACTTACTCCGTTTCCAAGCAATCGATAAAAATCGATATCGATATCCTGTTTTTTGGGCAATTTTGGTAAATAATAAGAGCTAGAGTCACCAAACTTGACATATAGCTTCTAAAATAGAATATATAAATGCATTTGATGTTGGAAGAAGAGGGTTCAGGGTATCCCCTAGTCGGGAGCTCCCGATTAGAACCTCTTACTTGTTTAAAGTCTTGGATATTCAATAACAATGCGATGTCCGCTTTTGCAATCCGATTTTACATTACAGTAAAAAAGAGAAGGGCCATCGACTGACTTTTCTTAAGGCCAGCTAGATGATATAGTTGTCCGATTTTGTTAAACATTTGCTCTTACGTGGGGAGCATAGTGAATCTAGTAAATGGCAATTTTTTTAGACCAAAAAACTTAATTTTGACCAATCTTTCCCATCCTTTTTCAATAATTGTGCTCCGATCCGGCTGATTCCAACATAATTATGTGCCACTTTTCCTGACGAGAACTCAATTAACTTGGGTGTTAATATTGATCGAGAATATATATTTGTACTTCGTATATATAATGCGATATCTTCGATCCTGATAAGCATTTGCTCAAATGTAACTTGCCTATGCTTAGAAAACAAATGTGGCATACACGGGCTCGACTTGTAACAGACCTGGGAGAACAGACCTTTCTCGACTGTAGTTACGGATTATGAATTTTGATTTAATACGATGTAGACATGGTGTTCAGCAAGGAATTAAAAGTGTTCTTGTCATAAGTGACCGACTTTTGAATACCCTGAAACTTCTACCAACACCAAATGCAGCTCGCAGAAAGTCAACATGTGTCTAGTTTAAATATTTTATATTTTGAGACTGGGAATGGGTTATCCAAAGAATCAAACATAAATGATTTGTATTAACTATACTAGAATTTTGGTGTGTCTAGCACTAGAAGGACGTCCCTTCAAAATGTCTAGCTTTTTAGGTCTTGAGATTGACCTCAGCAACTGATCAAGAATGAATATTCTCTATGGGAGGAAGGTACTTGCTTTTACATGATTTGCACAAAAAATAACAATACTATTTTAAGTCATTTCCAATGGGTTAAGCGCATAAATATGTCAAGAGTAAAGTTTGATCGTTTAGACCTGGAAATATGCTGTCATATTTTCGTTTTGTATCGACTGAGACACATAGAATAACACACACAAAAGGAAAATTTTGAAAAGATGCCACCGTTCTGCTGTGGCGGTCGGCGCTGTGCCAAGGATAAACGTAGTGGACAGGATGCTGGCCACACCAGGTCTCCGATAAGTGCAACAGATGCTGAGCGTCCGCTGACTCTCAAGTTCTATGCCCGGCACGATTGGCCGTACTTCAACTGCACCGATGAGGAGATTCGACGGATGCATGAAAAGTTCGATCGGGATAGTCCGAGTGAAGGAAACGTGGACGGTGCTGACAAGCCAAAGGACACCGACGCCGAAAAACAGTATGTGCCAAAGCATGCCACAGCCCAACCCCTGACAGAGAATCAAATTTATGGCTGGTATCAGCATCGGGCCTTTCGCTACTTGAAAAAGGATCGCGGCATCTTCGTATTTCCGCGCGAAGGTGATCCGTTGATTAAGATGATCCAAGCTGCCAATCAAATGGCCCGCTAAGCATAGCCTGGAAAAGGAGCTCCAAAACTTTGGACGACAAGACAACCCTTTCCTTTTCCTATTCACGAAATTCATTGTCAGATTTTATATAAAATTAGTAAAAACTGACATTTATTTGGGGGGTTACATAAAGAAAATATATCTATATTAGTTCGGCAATTCAGGAATCAAATTAAATCAAAGATAAAATAAATAAATGGCTATCTATTTGACACTTTCTATTACTTGAGCCAGGAGGAGACATTTGTCGCCTCAGTTATCTCAGGGTTCTGCTCTCCTTCCTCGATAAGATCAAGCACTTGGGGAGCTCTCCGAATGCTGCCTCACTTTTGTGAAATTCCTTTTAATTAATATTAATTATATCCATTTCAATTATGCATCTTACAGTGCCGTCTGATTGTGTCCCAAATGTCTGTCACACGCGCCGAGGCCTGGCACTGGCAGACGCCCATGTTCGTGCTGTCCATGCTGGTGAGCTTGTGGCTTCCGGCGCTGGAGCGGCCGCTGCTCTACACGCTGCTCATTGTGACCACCTTGACGCATTGGCACTACGGCGCCAGCGTGGTGAATCAGATGTGCGAGCACTTCAATCGCGTTTGCTTCACTGTGCACAAACGAGTGGAGTATCAGGCCACGAATCCCGAGGAGACATTGCAGGAGCGCAAGGAGGCTCCGACGACAGCACTCAAGCAGGATTAGGCTAAACACATTTGGTCAAATTTCTGGCTGTGTTTCGATTATCCGGGAGGCTGTCGAACCCTGTGTGCGATGTGAGATTCTACGTAAATATTTGTGCTACTTAACGCTTTCTCAACCAAATGCTCGGGTAGCAAGGACCTTGAGTTACACTATCTGGATATACTTGTAAATTGACTTAGCTATTCCTTTTATTAATGTTTATTGGAAAACAAAAACTCGCTTATCCCAGAGTATTCCATCTTAAATGTGTAATCGATAATTATCGGTCGATTAATTGCAGCACTCTCCTTGGAACAGGTTTTGGCTTACAACTGGGAGAACTATCCGAATCATTTGCACGTTAATCAACACTCATCTTACATTTAAATTGTATTTAAGATTAAACACAATTCTTAAAGGCTTGATTCGGTCATAAAATACCCTCGCATCGTTTTCCCTGTAAACAATCTAATTATTAAATTATTTATATGCCAATGTTTTATATTCATTGTCGTATGACTTTCAATTCTAGTATAATGGCATAGCTTGAATGTGCTTAATTTATTTGAATTATTTTGTAATTGTTATATTTTATATTGTGCTTAAACCAGAGGCCCACACAAAAATACAACAAATTCTAGCCGAATGCGACAGACATGACATGTTTAATTAAGACAACCGCCAAGACCTCTAATTATTTTATCGCATACTATGTAATTATTATTTAAACACATAATTATGTATACTACTTAATATGTGGTCGCTGTATTCGCCACAAATTGAATTAATTATGTTTAACTGTAAATGTCGCTTCCCCCTCCCTGAAACTGTGCAAAAGACAAGACAACATTTAAAAATAATAATAAACTATATTTTAGTAAACGCGATTAACGAGTGTAGTGCTGCGAATAGTTTTTCTAGAAGCAATCTAATAAAAATTAGATGGACCAACAAGCAAGCGAGCTCGACTGGCGAATACCCTTTAGTCACTTTGCAGAGTAGAAACCAAACCGCAAAACATACCCAAATTATCACCGTTCTTTTCCATTCAAATTGTTAATCTCGTAAATAAACATATCTTCTGCTATTCAATTGTTAATGCGCACAAAATGCACCTAATCGAGTCCACACGACTGCCAATCAGGTTTGCGCAGCTGTCAACAATCCGGCGATCAATTTGAGTACGTGCTCGGGCGATTAGCTGGACATCAAAATACTTCCTCATTGCCTAATTGGTGTGAAAATCTAATTCACGGCCCACTGTGCGCGCGCTCTGAGAACGTAAGAGTTGCCGCCCCCTCCCCACTCCCTGCCGCCCCCTCAAGCGTACTAGCCTATGGCTATCAATAACGGAGAAGCAAACATTACGCGCAGCAGCAGCAGCGGCAGCAGCAGCGCGGGTGTAAGCGAGCAGCGACGTCGACGTCGACGCACGCGAGTCACGCATACGAAATGGGTACGACAACAACAAAAAGTCACAACTACAAACGAATAAATAAAGGCAAAACAATCAACAAAAACGGTGACAGAAAAACCAGAACGAGAACGAGTACGAAAAGGAGAAGGAGCAGAGGCAGATGCAAAAGAAAGCAACAAAGCAGCGACGTCGACGTCGCTGCTGCAGAATATGAAAGTTGCGCATGCGCCAACGTCGACGTCGATGTTAAAGCTCGCGACGCCAGCTTGAAATCAGTTGCGAGGCAGAAGCGCGAGTGTTAAGAACGAAGAACACGTCAAGCGGCTGTTAAATTCTCTAGAAAATTGTTTCAAATATGTTTGCAAAGACTTTCTCGCTGCTGCTGCTGCTGATGCTGCTCAGCGCAACGGCGTTGGCGTCGCAGGCGCCCTATTTGCGAGACAGCACAACCGAGTCGCTGTCCACCAGCAGCAGGCAGAGTCCGAGCCCAAGTCCGAGCCCGGCTGCCATGCAGGAGGAACATTTTCCGGCTGTGGCGCCGCCTCAGGCAGCGGAGGCAGCTTTGATTGAGCCACAGGTGGGTTCACTGCAGCCGCCACTTGGAGCTGAGGATGGACTGCGTCGGCGTCTCGTCACCTACGACCAGAGGCAGGAGGGACAGTACAATATAAGAGCCGATCTGGAGAACTTTATGATTGTGCTGATACCGCCCGGACCGCAGGAGGGTTTGAGCCTGTTGGATCTACTGACCAAATCATCCTTGCGTGGCGCCACAAAGAGCAATGGCAAGCGTAAACATGCGGATGCCTCTGCCCTGAAGTCCTTCTATCAGCGGCAGCAGCAACTGCAGCAGCAGCAGCAACAGCACCAGATGCCCCAGGCAGCATTGGGCGTGGCTCTGCCCGAGTTTATTGAGGGACGCACGCCCTACCATGTCGACATCTCTGGTGCTAGTGAAGAGCTGCAGCAGCAACAGCAGCAGCCGCGTTTGCATCGACAACAGGTAGATGTTTTGCCCCCGCAGCTGATTCCCATGCCGCAGCTGATCAAGCCGTATCATCTTGAGGCGGAAGCAGAGCTTATCCAGGCATTGCCACCTGTGCCCGCCAGTGCCAGCAGCAGCGCTGGCAACAATCTGCTGGAGGGGTTTAACCAGGCGGGATCCCAGTACTATCGCCATTCACGCTCCCTGCGTGGTGACAGCTTTTTGGATACCAATCGCTTGACGCCTGAACCCGTCGCCCGGTCCAATGCACGCTCCATCAGTGTTCCACTTTATCGCAGCGATGTCGCCCAGGCCAACGTGTTGTATCCGCCCATCGATGTGCCCGCCTACATTGTGAATGAGGCACATCCGCGCAACTGGCAGCTGGACGATGAGCCCACACCCATACTGCCCAAGCACTTGGTTGATGCGGATGTGCTAAGCTTCCAGCTGCTTGGCGATGCTCTGGCCAATTCCAAGACGCTCTTGCGTGACGGACAGGCATTATGTGCGCAGGGACAACGGCGTGACAGCTACGGCGCCTGTCGCCAGGTCGAGGGCTACTGAGACTGAGTTACTTTCCAGACTGCTAAGCAAAAGCGAATATATTAGGCTAAACATGACGATAAATGCGATTTTTTACAAAGCATTAGATTTAAGCTACAAACATATACACAATACAATAAACAAACAAAAAATTGAAATTCAAATTTAGCGCCAAACGTTCATGTTAATTGCTAATGTTAATGTTAACATTAACCATACACACAATTAATAAAAAAAAAATACTTGAAATTCAAATTTAGCGCCAAGCTGTCATGTTAATTGCTAATGTTGTTGTTAACATTGGGTGTATGTAGCCGGAAGCCAGTGTGAGAGAGTGCTAAATGTGAGTGTAACGGTAAAACGTTGCGCTGAAGGATAAACCCAATTGAATGCTATGTTAGATGACATCAAGGGGCCCAACAATAATAATAAAAACAGCCAATGCATTCACTAAGGCCAGAGCCATAATTTGCAACGTTGCAATGTTCATTTGAAAAACCTGTTTTCATTGCTCACAAAAAAAAAAAGAGCAACAGAAAAATGTAAAAAAAATCTTAAATGCAATTTCAAGTTTCTGATAGCAGCATCTTCCTGTGAGAATTGGCTAGAGCAATAGGTGCATTCTGTGGTGACCGCTGAGCAGGGTCAATGACCAAGGCTAAGCACACACACACAGCACAAACATGGCACAACAAATTTACCGTTAATACATAGAATAAACAAACCCCGGCCTTTGGTCTATTACAAGTAATTAGAACGTTTAACAATGACTCGCGCTTTTCTTTCAATTTAGGTTATTAGGCTAGAGTTGTTTGTACACATAATTAAGCAACTATCAATTATAAGTGAAGGCACAATTGAACAAATAAGATGAAAACTTGCATAGTTTGCGTTTGTTTATGTGCATTGAATTGTTCAGGCTGCGGTCAAAAGCTGCTCTAATGAAGGTTCTCACATTCCCACAACAATGCGGAAGTCTTTGGGCCATTGAACTGAACACAATCGGGTTTTTGTTAGCATCAGGCAAAGGCTCCTCTTCTGTTCAAGTCCAGACTTGTGGCTCATTCATCGCCCGCTGTCAGACGCCAACGGTCCTGCACGCGAATCGAAGCTACCAAATAAAATGTGCAAATTTACCAATCGATTATTTGTCTTGGTCTTGCTGCAATTTATTGGCTTGGCCATGGCCAAGCCTCTGAAGGCGCGCAGCAGTGCCAGCGATTTAATTGAGCTTTTGTACAATGATTATGGGGACTATGGCTATCAGTTGGAGGAGGTTAACTATGATCAACGCCAGAAGGGCGAGGAAAATCTCAAATTGCGCCTAGATGGCTTTCTAATTGGATTGCCAGCTCGCGATGATTCATCCTGGTTGGATCTACTTGCGGAAGAGTATTTAAGTGAGGGAACACAAATCAAAAAGTTTCAAACTAAATGTGTCTTCTCTAAGGTAACGCGCTGCCCAAAAAGCCAGCATCACCAGAATCTGGACAAATTTTTGAGACCTTGGCTGAAAAAAATATAACAGATGCGACAACAGCTCCAGTGGTAAATATGCCTGCGTCAAAAAAGGAAATCGAAAGCCGACAACACGCCAATGATGATGTGCCAAGCTCACCCCGGTTTGTATGATAATTGAATGCTTCAGTAATGTAATGAAGCTGATTAACCTTTTTCTTTTTTAGTACAAAGTCGCACATGCTGCAGCTTCTGCAAATGTTCCGGCGGACGCAGATCTAAAACGCTATAAGATATACTACTTAAAACGTTTAAAACAATTGCAAGTTTATTATTTGAATTGTAATTCATTGAACTTTTTGAAAATACCGCCATCGAACTAATTGTGAACGACCACCAGGGTTGATTTCCGACCTACTTTATGCAATTACCCAATACTGGGCATCGATACAAATATATAATTTCTAAAAAAAAGGGGTTCCCTAAAAATTCAATATTGCGATCGTCTTTATTATCCTTTTAAACTAGAAAGATTGACGAATGATAAATTGTATCGCTAATAAAAGTATTACAATAAAATTTATTAAAATTATGTTGTTTTAACTATTATGCAGAGTACACGTATCAATGCCGGTCAGCTATAGACTGGTAGTTACTTTTGCTCTCCCGCTTAGACGCTGTTGTAACTTACTTTTGTTACATATTTTGTAAGATTCTGCGGTTAAGAAAATTTAAATCTATTGTATAAATTGAATAGAAAATTCATTTATCCTTGGTATAAATGCCGACATTACCAAAGATCTTTACGAAAAATAATTTGGAGCCTGTTTCACATCCAAGCATCTTCAGTGGATAATGCGGTTCAACGATTTTTTTTTCCAATTTCTTCAAACTGAATTTCAAAGCCCTACGTAGAAGCCGCACGAATACGTTTTTTGGAATTTTGGATTTTGGAAATTCTATTCGGAACTGTGGTAAATTGGAGATTGCCATCCAATCGGCTTAATTATAAAAAATATTGGGTGATTTTCATTGATCTTTAAAAAGATTTATAATTTCAGCTGCAAGACTCACAACACGGAAGCAAAACTGGCAGAAAACGCTGATTTCAACTTCTGGTTTTTCATTCGATAGCCTTAAAACGTATTTTCAAATATCTATGCAATATATAATTCAATATGTTTAAAATAATACGGACGACTTATGAGTAGAAATTTGATGTCCACAATTTGAATCAAGTAACCTGGACCGGTTAATTGAAATATAAATAAATATAAATTTAAAAGAAACTTAAACCTGCACATAGATTATCTCCTGAAAGATATATAAATTAATGAAAATTAAGTAAAGCTACTTTTTAAAAATTGCGCCAACAAACTCACGTAACACAAACATCAGGGTTGATCCGATGCACCCAGCGTACAGTATTTTTTTTGCAATTAACCAACACTGTTGGCAGCACGAAAAGCATACACCGATTTCCAAAAATCGTTGTACTTAAGACCAGCTTGGCATTACTATTCGTTTTTACGTACCACTTCATAGACAATTAGGTGGCCAGAGAGTGATTTGCAATATTTTTGTGCAGCGAAGAATATTCAAGAACCTTCGTGTCCCGCACACGACTGACAAAACCAGTATAAAAGCCGAACCTGCTGCCGTACGATTGTATACACAAAGAACGAGTGCGACGCAATAGACGACATAGACAAAAATTGCAAAACAAGTAATAGCAACTAAAATTAGTTAAAACGCACAGTCGCTGTCTACATTTTCTGAGTTACAAATAAAATATAAAGAAAAGGAGTTCAATATGCCTGAACGATTGCTAAAAATCACCTACCACGATGCACCTGCTAGTGCATCGAAGAAGCTGAATGCATATTTGCGAATGCCATCAAATACTTTTGCGGTTTTGCGTCGTGAAATTGAGATGTACCTGTTCCAGGAGCGCGAACTGCCCGTTTGCAATTTCAGGACATATTGGATTGGTAAATATTAACATGCCGATGATATAATAGACAAGTCAAATGCGAAATAAATTAAATGCAATGTGTGCTTGTATAAGCCCATGTGTGTGTGCGTGTTTGCCTTAGCTGTATAGTATATATGTATGCGTGCTATGTGTGGACATCTGTATCAAAAGACATATACATACATGCAATTTACATACATACATGCAGTTCACATATGTACATGCATTTCACAAGCCCATGTTGCGACCCATTTGAGTTTTGTGTGTACCTACACAAGTGCACGCACACACATTCAGACATACATATGTATGCATATCGGTGCCTCCTTCCACCCAGTGTGATTCACAATAGTGAATATACTGATAACAATAGATTCGTTGGCGAAAATAAAAACTACCAAAATCGAATGATTCATTTTGCTTAAGAATTTTGTTTTGTTTCTGCACATAAACTAGCTTTGTTTGTAAATATAATCAGAGTCAGCTAGTCGGGCATGCTCAGCTTGAAGATACCCTGTTTACAGGGCTGCGAAAAAAAATAAAATTTAATTTCTTCCGCTATAAAAGAAACAAAAAAATACATTTAAGCACTTACAGCCGAACCGATTACCGGTCATGCAAATAAAACAACGTATTGTTATGCATTTCGCAATTTGTTGTAAAAAGGAAAATATTGGTAAATAAAACTTCTTATCTCTCCCGTTTAGATTCGGATTCTGATGAAATTGAGGTCATCAATCAGAATGACTATGAAATTTTCTTGGCTAAGTGCGAGAAGAATATGCATTTGCAGATTGCTGCCTGTCGCATCGAGCAGGCAGATGCCAAGCAGGCGCCAGCCTCGGCTCCAGCTGAAGATGATCCCACAAATTTCATTATTCACGAGGGAGTAGAGTGCGATTCATGCAAGGTTTGCCCACTGATTGGCTTTCGCTACAAGTGCATGCAGTGTCCCAACTTTGACCTGTGCCAGGCCTGCGAGTCGGCACACAAGCACCCGGAACATTTAATGGCCCGAATGCCCACTAACAACGGACCGAGGCTTATTGATGCCTGGATAACTGGTCCTGGTACCAGCTCGCGGATTCATCGACGCGCAAGCCGTCGCTGCCGTGATGACCCCATGATGATGAATCCATTTGCATGGGCCTATCCCCCGGCTGATTTAACGGCAAAGGCAGCTCCATCTTGCGCAACTGCTCCGCCTTGTGCTACTACTCCGAATTCGCCCAAAGAGAGTCGTCGCGAGCGACGTCATGCTCGTCGTCATGGTGGCGTATTTTCGAACATCATGGAAATGATGATGAATTTGCCAGAGGGCCACGTAATGCCTACTATAAGTGCCACGCCGGCTGCCGCCGCCGCCGCCACAGCTCCCGAGGCCAACGACAAGAAGGAGACCGCCTTACCAAAAGAGGAGCCAACTGTAGCAACCGCTATGAAAGAAGGGGCTCAAGATGCTGAGAAAACAACTGAGTCGAATGAGATCCCAGTAAAGGCATCAGTTGAGCCGGAAACAACTAATGCAGAAGAGCCCGTTGCTGCTCCTCGCAGTCCCAAGGAGCAGCCCAAAACGCAGGAAATTCCAACTGTAAACAGCACACCAACAACCCCGGTAATCAATCTGGAGAGCCTTGCCCAGATGGTTAATCCGGAATATATGCGTGCTGGCATTGAAATCTTGAACAACTTTAGCGAAATGTTTGCTAAAATGATAGACCCGAGTGAGGCAGCTGCTTTTGGCTGTGCCGATACCTCGATGGCTTCCAGGGGCTCGACAGCTTCTGAAAAGTCCGAACCTGGCGCAGAGACCGCACAGAACCCAGACAAACAGGCAACACCACCAACATCGGCAGCCGAGTCTCTTGAACGTCGTGAATCCCAGACATTGACCAGTGAAACACCAACTGTTCCAAAAGCAACTGCTGTCCCAGAAGCAGAGGCTGTGCCCGATCCGAAGCCAACTACAAATGCAGAGCCAGAGGCGCGGCGCAGTTCCGATAGCTTAGACCAGGACTGGCAAATGATTGACAACAGTGCTTCGCCGATGGCTAACGTTTCGAACTCGGATGCATTGATTAACTTGAGCTCGACCAACGCTGTCCTAACAGATGCCACAGTTTCACCAGTTCGCGACTTTGTGCAACTGGGTGAAATGCTGCGCCAGCACGTCAACGAGGAGCAACAACGCGAGCAGACAACTGCACATACACAAACTTCACAGGTGAATACGGTGAGCACCTCGACTTCAACTACAGGTGTGTCCACCAACAGCACCTCAACATCGACAACTGGTAATCCACCAGCACCCGAGGAGAAGCGCCAGGTGCCCATATACCATACTGGTAAGTAACCATTTCCGACTTGGAATGCAAACGATATTAATTCAAATATCGATCCATCCCACAGATGAACGCATTAATGCCGCCGTACACGCTATGATGGCCATGGGTTTTAGCAATGAAGGAGCTTGGCTGACGCAGTTGCTGGAGTCGGTGGAGGGTAACATACCTGCCGCATTGGACATAATGCACACATCGCAAAGTGGTCGCAATTAATTCCATTAAAAATTATCCATTTTAATCATCGACAAGTTATAATTGTTTTGGGCAGAATTTCTCAGTTTTTTGGTTTATTTCTGGTGAATTGTTATCATTTATTATACCAAACGAAAGTTACGCGGATATATATAATCTATAGTATATGTATGTATGTGTATATGTGTATGTGGCAATTAATCAAAACTATGTTATTCAATGGTATCGTATATTAAACAAATAATAAAAATTATAAATATATACTATATGTGCTAAACAATGAAAATGTATTCGATGACCAAATTGCCCAAATTAATAGCCGAGTTTTTCCGAGATAATCGTTAAAACTTCGCGCACAAATCTTCTGAATTCGTAGTTAATCGTCGTGATGGTCACAATAAATGTGAACAGCTTAAAGAGCCGGATGTGTTGTGCTTTCCATTGGCGACGCGCAAAGCCAGTGTTGTAGCTGAACATCTGGGAAATCATTAGTGTTGCAAAACTGCTGAGAGCACAGAAGCGATGAATGATCTGCAGCGATTTATTCGTATAGAAATAGAGCGGCAGGCCGCTGAGAACGCAGCCGAGAAGCAGAGCACATCCGACAATGCCTGCGAACGAGAGGAAGAGAGACAGAGAGAGAGAGAGAATGAATATGTAAATCAGCTGCGAGTTCGCGTGCACCTACCAAAGAATCCGTGATTACTGCGGAAATGCTTTACTGTGGCGCTTGGATCTTCTCGCTTGCGCTCGCGCTTTTGCCAGGTCTTGATGCCGACGCCGCCGACACCGATGCCAAAGGCCAGCAGGCCGAGAGCACTGTGCAGCAGATCCACATTGAATAGGCCCAGCCACATTTCCAAGACTCTGCTGTGGCGCACAAGCAGAGCTTCGCCCAGTAGGAATACAAACTGACGAGGCAAATATGTAAATACTCAATTTTTCAAAGGTTAATAAATAATACTTACGGCAACTGTGCAGTAGAAGGCGTGTCCGGCGGTATGCACCATTTTTAGGGAAACACATTTGTGGACCACGACCAGCGTAATCCCCGCGAGCAGTACGTGTGAGATGAGGGCACAGAAGCCAAAATAGAACCTCGCCGAGGATGCATCCAATTTGTCAAGCCCAAACGCTGCATTGTCAATTGTAGCATTATTCTCGATCTGATCCACAACTGTTCCGATATAGTCCAGCAGATTCGTGCTCTCGCAAACGTCCCGCAGTCCCGACGCACTACAGCCTTGCATAACTTTATTCAACATATTTCCGTTATGTTCAACTTTTATTGTCTAACAACTTTTATCTATCTACGTGCGCTGCTCACGTTGTGTAGATTAGTTTTTTTTTTTTGTTGTTGTGTGGGGATCTCCGTTCGACCGCGCGCTTCGAATGCCAGACAACGTTTAAAAGAACGCAGACTGCGAACAGCTGGGTGGCTCGGATCTCGGGGAACTTTGTGTGCAAAAACTTTCAAATCAAATGGAGCATGACTCAGCTGTATGCTATTGCTTGCACGTGCTTCACCTTGGCGCGTAAAAGGCGGCAGCAGCCCCCTGTTGCTGCCGATTGGCAAAAGTACACAAATTTTATCATGTTATTTTCGGCGCATTGTAAACCGGTTTGTATAATTAGTCGTGCAATTTGCCGTCGGACACCAGCTGACAAGTGAGTAGGCACGAAAACCGAGCACAGTTATTTGGGTCCACTTTAAAACGGTTCGTATGAATCATATCATTCAATGTTACGAAACTCTAACCAAAAGCGAATGGCTGATAAACGAGAAACCGCAAACCATAAGCTAGTTCCCTGAGCTGTTAACCGTTATAATTTAGCTTAACATTATTTTTAAATGTTATCAGAACAGCATGTTAACAGAACTGTATATGTGTGTATGTATGTATGTATGAATTTACTATGTATCAAGTGGAGCTAATTGATGTTTTCTCATAACGGTAACTATAATGAAGCATCTTTTAATTAGATCGGTCAGATGAATTATGAATTTATTGACATTGTAAGAATGTTGGATTAAAGGGTTTTATCACAGACAATGAATGATCAGAATGTGCAAAAAGTGCAAACGAGTTAAGAGTGCAGCAACAGGTTCTTCTATATTAGTTGTTTCCGGTTGAAATGGACATACATCACGGCTGGTACCGGCACCAGTTCCGGGTGCTTGTTGGCTGACTCGCATGCCCCACATGAATTGCATACTTTTCCCTCAAAAATAACGACAAAGCTGGGAGAAACTTGCAAATGCAAGTCAAGTCAAATTCATCAGAATCCGAATCTAAAAAGAGAGATAAAAAGTTCAAATATTTCCCCTTTTACAACAAATTGCGAAATGCATAGAAATACGTGACGTGAATTTAAATAGTTTGTTTAGCGAAAGACAGATTGTTTTATTTTCATTACCTGTAATCGGCTCGGAAGATAGTCATTAAATACATTTCTTTATTTTTTAATATATATAAATTAAAAGTGAGCTGCTAATGAGTTACATTTTAATTATTTTTTATTTTTACACCCTGAACCCATTAAAAATGGGTATAAGGGTATATTGTATTTGTGCAAAATCCAAATGTATGTAACAGGCAGAAGGAAGCATCTCCGACCCCATAAAGTATATATATTCTTGATCAGCATCAATTGCCGAGTCGATCTAGCCATGTCCGTCTGTCTGTCCGTCCGTCCGTCCGTGCGTATTTATGAACGCAAGGATCTCAGAACCTATAAAAGCTAGAGACTTGAAATGCTAGATGTAGATGCACCTAGTTCCCGCACAGATCGAGTTTTTTTTCCGATAATCGATGACTTAGTCCGTTTCCAAGCAATCGATAAGAATCGATATCGATATCCAGTTTTTTGGCAATTTTGGTAAATAATAAGAGCTAGAGTCACCAAACTTGACATATAGCTTCTAAACTAGAATATATATATATGCATTTGATGTTGGAAGAAGAGGGCTCAGGGTATCCCCTAGTCGGGAGCTCCCGACTAGAACCTCTTACTTGTTTGGCATGTCTGCGGTGGGATTATTTATTGAGATTGTAAAAATGTTGGTTTATAGGGCTTCATTACAGGCATGTCTATCATGCGTTTGCATCTTTATCAAAGTGCAAATTAGCGACAAGTATGGAAGCGTTTTCTTCTTCTTCGTTAGTTGTTATCAGTTTAACTGTAGCTTGATCACGGTGGCGAGGGGCTGAGAGACGATGAAGGATGGTATAAGTTATCCAGGCATCAATATATTTCGGTCCGTTGTTATTGGGTAACCGCACCATAAAGTGCTCCGGGTGCTTGTGTGCCGACTCGCAGGCCTGGCACAGGTCAAAGTTGGGACACTGCATGCACTTGTACCGAAAGCCGACCAGTGGACAGGCCTTGCAGGAATCGCACTGTATTTTATTATGAACAATGAAGTTTGTGGGATCATCTACAGCCGGACTCGGCGCTGGCGCCTGCTTGACATCTTCCTGTTCGACGTGACAGGCAGCAATGTGCAAATGCATATTCTTCTCGCACTTAGCCAAGAAAATTTCATAGTCATTCTGATTGATGACCTCAATTTCATCAGAATTTGAATCTAAACGAGAGAGATAAGAAGTTTAAATCAGTTTGCAGTTGGCAGCCCTGTAAACAGGATATCTCAAGTCGAGCACTCCCGACTAGCTGACTCGATTTCTTCAATTTAGGGAGCTCCCGACTATAACCTCTTGTTACATATATCTAGTGTATATTCACTATAGCATGCATATGTATGTGTGAATGTGTGTGACAAAACTCGAATGGGTCTGTGAAATGCATGTGTGTATGTTTATGGCTTTTGATACAGACGTACACACATAGCACACACACACATATATACTATACAGCTGACTCACACAGACACACTCACAAGCACTCATTGCACTTAATTGCTTCGCATTTTGATTCGTCATATATGTATGTACATATATATATCATCGGCTCTATGTGCATATGTGTGTATATTGGTTTAATATTTACCAATCCAATATGTCCTGAAATGGCAAACGGGCTGTTCGCGCTCCTGGAACAGGTACGTCTCAATTTCACGACGCAAATCTGCCAAAGTATTTGATGGCATTCGCAAATATGCATTCAGCTTCTTCGTTGCACCAGAGGGTAGTCCGTGGTATGTGATTCTTAACAATCCCTCAGCCATATTAACAACTTTTTTTTTTTTTAAATACTTTATTTGAATGTTAGAAAATGTAGACAGCGATTGTAAATAACTTTAGTTGCTATTACTTGTTTGTCTATGTCGTCTATAGCGTTGCACTCGTTCTTCGTATATACTTTCGCATGGCATGAGATTCTGCTTTTATAGTGCCTTTGCCAAATCATTCTGAGGCCCCCTATTTGTTTATAGAGTGATATCACTAATCATACATTACATAGATACGATAATCGAAACATGATAAGCCGCTACAAGGAAACCCCAAGGGACCCGAAGAGAGTAAGACTGCTGAGAGTGGCAGCCGAACGCCGGCCTCGAAAGCCGAACGATCAATACGAAGCCCCGCATTTCGCTCGGCGCACAACTGCGGCTGCGCTGCGGCTGATGCCGCATACGTGTGCCTCGCTCTCACTCATTGCTCATCTCATTCTCCCTGCCAGACATTGCATTGTAACTGTAACGAAACAACTTCGCTTACTCTGCAGGAAACTGCGTTGGCTTTCTCTCTTCCATATGATTTGTGCAATAGAACGGCATCGCTGGTTTTTATGGTTTTTGTTTTGGTTTTATTCTTTTTCAAGTAAATTTAATTGCAGGCTATTGATGTTTTCTCTTTTTAATTGGATCGTTATTTGTTGACACAGTCTATGAAAACAGGTGAACCGCACTTGTCCGTCGTTTGTACTTTGAAATTGAAAATATGCAAGTGATCATTTTATGAATATATTGTCATTGTGCAAATGTAGGATGTTGGTCAGAATGTCTGGCAAGCGTCTGCATCCCTATCAAAGTGCATTAGTTGTTTGCGCGAACTGGTACCGGAACCAGTTAGTTATCCAGGCATCAACAAAACTAGTTCCGTTGTTGGTTGGCGGGTATTCGCACCATAAAATGCTCCGGGTGCTTGTGTGCCGACTCGCAGGCCTGGCACAGGTCAAAGCTGTGACACTGCATACACTTGTAGCGAAAACCCATCAGTGGGCAAGCCTTGCATGAATCGCACTCTACTCCCTCATGAGTAATGAAATTTGAGGGATCATCATAGATGCCACAGTCAGCAATATGCAAATGCATATTCTTCTTGCATTCTGCCAAGAAGATTGAGTAGTCACGTTGATTGGAGATATCAATTTCATCAGAATCCGAATCTAAACGGGAGAGAGATAAAAAGTTCAAATATTTCCCATTTTAAAAAAACAATTGCGAAATTCATAGAAATACATCCGTGATGTAGTTTAAATTCAAATGTTGCTATGTTAAGCAAAATACTATTGATACAAAGCTAGTTTATGTGCAGAATCAAACAAAATGGATCATTCGCTTCATATGAGTGAATGTGTGGGCGTGCATTAGTACAAAGTTTGTTTAGGTACACACAAAACTCAAATTTGTCACAACATGGCTTTTGATAAAGATGTACACACATACCACACATACATATACACAGCTAAGACACACACTTGTGCTTATACAAGTACATGTAGCTGGCACACAGTGCACTTAATTTATTTCGCATTTTGTCTATTATATCATCGGCTCTATGTATGTATGTTAATATTTACCAATCCAATATATCCTGAAATTGCAAACAGGCAGATCGCGCTCCTCAAACAGGTACCTCTCAATTTCTGAATGCAAATGACTAAATTGATCGAATAGCAGTGGTACAAATATATTCAGCTTCTTCGTTGAACCAGCTGGTGCATAGTGGTAGGTGATTTTTAGGAATCCCTCAGGCATATTTAAACCTTTTTTTTTTTATTATTTTGTTTTGTAATTTTAGTTTATATTGTCGTCTATTGGATCGCACTCGTTCTTTGTGTAAGCAATCGCACGGCAGCAGGCTCTGCTTTTATACTGGCTTTGCCAAATCACTCTCTGGCCACCTACTTGCTTACGAAGTGATACCACTAATCATACAATACATACATGTATGTAGATACGTCAAACAGGCAAATAATCGAAACTTGATGAACCACTGCCCAGAGAGAGTAGAACTGCTGAGAGTGGAAGCCTAACGCCGGCATCGAAAGCCGAACGATCAGTATGAAGTCGCATCTCGCTCGGCGCACAACGTCGTTGCGGCTGATGCTTCTTCTTAATATACTTACATATGTATGTTAGTTTTAAATCCTTACAGCCCAAATACATACATATGTACATATGTGTGCATGCATGTGCAGAGTGTGCCTCGCTCTCACTCATTGCTTTGCGCACTTTTGCTTGTCTTACGTGCCAGTGTGAATAGAACTGTATGACGTCATTTCAGAGAAGAAAAAAGTACCCACGCGAAGCAGCACAACACAACAAGCAGAAAGAGAGCAGCGCGAAACGTTCGGCTAACAGCTGATTGTTTTGCGTGGCAATGTGAAATAGATAAAACTGCATGACGTCATTACTCCAAAAAAGTCCCAGCGCGAAGCAGCACAGCAAAAGAGAACGCAGCGAGAATCGTTCAGTTTACAGCTGATTGTCGGCCAGTTCCGTTGACACTCCCGTTCGAAAGGTCCATTAGTGTGCTAAGTGTTTCATAAATAAAACAAAATAAAGGCCCAATAAGTCAACAAAGATATTTTGTAAATCGAAAACAAATATATTTGTAAAGCGAACAGCAAACATTTTGCATTTCTCAGATACGGAATCCCCCCGACACAAAAAGTACGAAATTTATTATTATTGTTTGTGTTCAGTGCACATATATATTTAAATATTTTATATACAAAAAAACCCCGTGAATAGGTTTGTGCATGCGATTAAAACTAAATCTTTAATGAACGCTAAACCTATGACAATTAAAGTGTTAATTAACAAAGCAGAAATTAAGTTTATCAACACAAAAACAACCGCATCGAATTTAGGAATTTAATTAACCATTTGCATGATATTCCAGCGATAGATAAAATGAATAATATTTTTTTGTTATTACTGTTGAGTCGTGTGTATGAATTCTATTACAGATTAGTTTTCTATATAACAACGTATATATAGAATATCTACGGCACGCCGAGAACTAAATAATCACGTAGAATTATGGCTAACGGTTTTTCAGATATGTATGTGGGCGAATTGTGAGTTCTTTCTAAAAAAAAACGCTATATGATAAAGCCAGATGTTCATAAGACATGAGAGAACTCGTAATCGCAACAGTTAAGATAGCTTGTCTAAAAAAAAAAAATAACCATCGAAAAACTAAATTTTCATAGGGTCATATTAATATAATATAGTGTTCCGATCCGGCCAATTGCAAAGTTTTACAATTGAGAGATAAGTTTGTACGACTATATTGACTAATCTGTTGGAATATACACACATATAAACTTTAGATAAAAGTTTTTCATTTATTTCAAGATTTACGTATATACCTATATGATATGTATGATATATGAAGTACCTGATACATACTTAAGATAACAGTTTTTCTTTTATTTCATGATAAAAAGACTAAAAAGTAAAACAAAAAGATGAGTTTCACATTATCAGCTCTTTTGTTTACAAATACCTGTGAAATTGTTGAACTCTGCTGGAACTTCTTGAAACTCCTAACTGATTTAAAATATTGAAGTAACTATAAATATGCTATAACCAAAAGCTCTTAATTTTGATATTCAAATTTTAATCTCCAAATCATAAAATGTTTATTTAGCTTTACTTAAACTATACAAAAGTTAGGTTGAGTTTTACATAAAGGTTAGTATTATAGTATATAGTATTAAGGGTGATTTATAATTTTGTCGTGAAATGTGTAACGCATAGAAGTAGACATCTACGACCCCATAAAGTATATATATTGTTGATCAGTATCAACATGTATGTGAAAACCGGCTGGATCGGACCACTATATCATACATCTGCCATAGGAACGATCGGTCGAAAGCTAGGTTTTCTATGTTGACCAAACTCGGCAATAACTATGAAAAGTTTGGGTCTGCAAGGGTATTAGATCTTCGGCGTGCCGAAGATAGCCTTTCTTTCTCGTTTTTTTTTTGTTGCAGTCTACCATTTTATACTTAAACAAAATATTTATTTAGTAATTGTCCGGCACTGTGTTGTGATTTTTTTATTATTTATTTTTAATATATGTATATTTTTTTATTTCGTTTGTCCATTAATCTATTAGACTTTACCTATAGTTGACATTCGTATACGTTATGCATACATATATAAGTGTGTATGTATGTGTGTATGTATGTATGCATGTATGTCTCTGTGTATAGTCTTCTTGTTAATTATAATTATCAGTGAGCATTTTATATTATTTTGAATGTTGTTGTACAGCTTACGCTGCGGTCGGCGTTGACGCCGACGCTAGGCCAGATTTTCGATGCCGCGCACTCACACACTCGCACTCGCATGCTAGCATACACACATACATACATATGTTGCTATGTGCATATAACAAATCCCGTATGACGCCGGCTCAACCAGTCGCAGCTAAGCTTTGAGCCCGGTCGGTTGTGGCATCGCTTGGCAGCCCAACTTGAATTGATTTTAAATTAATTGTAACCAAAGTTTATATATACATATATACATATATTTACAAAAGTTTTGTTTTTCGTTCACTTGAATTAACAAAATGCGTTGCGCAGACGCTTTTGCTGCTGTCATCGCCTCTTGCGTGGCTCTCGTGCTTCTACAAATGGCGGAACCAGTCAGGAGTGAGGGGGAGGGGTAAGTCCTGTTAACTGCATACATATACATATACAATTATTGGGCTCAAGGGAAAAGTAGTTTAATGTGATTGGTTGGTTTTTTATATAAATCTATTGTTATACAGTGCAATTGCAATGGACATCAAGCGTGAATAATTGTTTTTTTTTATTAAGCTATATATATATAAATATATATATGTATATATGTACATTTGATAGGGTTTACTTAATTATTAGCACTTTGTGACTAATGCCAAGCATATTTATACTGTTTATTAGCACTTGCTTTTTCATAAAAAAAAAATATTGTGTTCCGTCGTAAAAAGTTGCCTCATTGTCATTCGAAAAGTTTTTTTTAAGTACTTTTGCATGTTTATCAATATATATAAGATGACTTTTGAGTGTACACCGAAAACCCGTTTATTATTTGTTTATATTTCTAGTTGATCTTGGCTGATTAATGCATTGCTCATTGCCAATGCCAATTAGTTACACAGCTAATAAAGTACTACGTGTTGTATAAGATTTAATTGACAGTGTTAACAAACGTAGAAACAAATTTGTTTGTCTTAAATAGAGGCTCATATCGCCTTGTACTCAGACATTTCTCCTTCCATGTTTACTTTTTCTTACATAACCGGCGCGCTGAGCCGGTTTCGACAGATCAGGTTCTGGGAATATTTACCATAAGGCCTGTGCGAATTCGTCTTAAAATAAAAAAGCTTCAAGTCTTTCTTGGAAACAGGCGATTATGGCAAAGCAAACAAAATAAACATAAAATCAAATAAAAAAAAAAAAAAAAAAAAAATTATGTATGTAGATTAAACTGAATTCATAAATTTGGTAATCTAAAATGCGATTGGGCAAGCATAACTAAAATAAACAAATTCAATTAAAAATTGAAAAACCCAAATTAATGTTTGACCCAGTATTTTGACATTAAAAAATGATTGTGGACCTATTCTGATTAGATGTTAATTAATAAGTATCATCTTGCTTGCCGCAGGCAATATACGATCGTTGGACCGGGAACCATACACTCGCATCGAGATTACAATGTGGCTGTCGCAGTGCATCACACCAAGGAGCCGGTCACGTTGAAGATTGGCATTACGGGACCCTCGCACAATGAGACCCAAACGGTGGAGCTTGCCAAACCGGATGAGTTCAAGCAGCTCACCTTTAAGCTGCCTCCTCTGAAATCGGGTGACTATAACCTAACCGCAGAGGGCGTGGCTGGACTGGACTTCAAGAACTCCACGCAGCTCAGCTGGGTGGAATTTAAGCCCTACATAAAGCTGCAAACCGATAAGGGCAAGTATAAGCCCGGCGATGCCATCAACTACCGTGTCATCTTCCTGGACGAGAACCTTAAGCCGAGTGAGGCCGGGGATGATGTCGTCGTCTGGTTCGAGGATACGAAAAGGAATCGCATCAAGGAGCTGAAACACATCAAGACCCGTACGGGAGTATATACGGGCAAATTCGAGTTGTCCGAGTTTGCCACGTTGGGCTCATGGACGCTTTCGGTGCAGCATGGCGGAGCCTACTCGGACGAGCGCGTCTACTTCGAGGTGGAGAAGTATGTGCTGCCCAAGTACACCGTCAAAATGGACGCAACGCAGCATGTCTCGGTCAAGGACGGAGACATGCAGGTTGTGGTCAAAGCCAAGTGAGTAGCTATTCCCAGAACTTACGCAGACAAGAAATACAATTCCCTTCTCTTTTGCCCATCAGCTACACCTACGGCAAGCCCGTCAACGGCAAAGTCCTGCTCAATGTGCACACGGATGAGACGAGTACGTGGACCAATGTGGACGGCAAGTCGGAGCGCAAGGATACGCCTGGACACGCTCTGATCCGGACTGGCGACATGGTCAACGGCAAGGCGAAATTCGATATAAATGTTAAGGAGTTTGCCAGCTTTTTGCCGTACAAGACCTCGTCGTGGTATGCGCAGATTTTGGCCACCGTGGAGGAGGACTTCACGGGCGTGAAGCTCAACGAAACGGGCGGCGTTCAGCTCTATCCGTATCGCTACGAAATGTCATGCACGGACTACAGCTCCTGCTTCTCGTTTGTGGCGGACAAAGAGCACGAGATCATCTTCAAGATTACGCTCGTCGATGGCACGCTGCTAAAGGACACCAAGACGCCAGTCAAGGTAACTAAGGTTGTATTTAAACTGACCTAAAATGACCTCAACGTTAATCGCAGGCCAAGTTCACGGAGGGCATACGCCATACCAGATATGGGGATGAGTCAGAGCTGCCGAAAATTGAGAAGAAATCCCTGGAGTTCGAGACCCGCCTCAACGAGTCCAGCTTGGCCGTATTCAAGGTCGTGCTGCCCGATTTGCCGGACATGGAGAACCTGACGCGTTACTACAGCATCGAGCTGCAGTTCGATGGCGAGGAGCGAGAGCTGTATACGACCTATCCCTACAGGGAGCCAAAGAAAATTGATCCACCGACCGAAGAAGAGAAGGAAAAGGAATGGTTCAAGGCTGAGGTTCAGCGACCCAAGGACAAGTGGAGGTTCGTATGGATTAACCTTCCACACAGCAGCTCTTTTAATATGTGCCACTTTGCAGTCTCAAGATCGGAACGGAGTACCAAGTGACTCTCAACTCCAGCCGCCCGCTCAACTACTTTGTCTACAATATCGTCGGGCGCGGCAATGTCCTTAAGACGGAACGTGTCGTCCTCAGCGAGCCACAGAAGGTCTATAATATTAGTCTGACGCCCACGTTCCTGACCACGCCCTACGGCCGCATCTACGTCTACTACGTGGATGAAAATGGCGAGTTCCGTTATGCCGAGGACACCTTCCACGTGGATGTCGAGCTGCAGAATCAAATCCAAGTCACGGCGCCCGAAGAGGTCAAGCCCGGCGCGGACGTTGAGCTGGAGATCAAGACGGCGCCGCAGTCCTTTGTCGGCCTCATGGCCGTGGATCAGAGCGTCCTGCTGCTGGGCAGCAACAACGACATCAACAAAGACTCGTTCGGCTGGCGACTTGGCCGCTTCGATACGCACACGCCCTGGCAGGGCGGTTACTCCTACTATCCGGGCGAACGCAGCGGCGTCGTAACCATGACAAACGCCAACTTTTTCTACGATCGCACGCCGCCCAAATATCACGCACGTAAGATGAAATGTGCCCAAATTAGTCTTGGTTCGGTCTATCAATTAATTTAATTTGCAGAGGCCTTCGCAGGCGGCGCCATGCGGAAGACAGCACTCGTCTCAAACGATGCAGCCTACAGCACCTCAGCCCCAATGGGCGGTTCACCGGAAGTTGCTTTGTTTGCGGCCGGAGTCGGCGGAGCAGCGCCTCCAGCTGCGCCCACGGTGCGCAAGAACTTTGTGGAGACTTGGCTGTTCGAGGACATCGAAAGCACAAAGTCGGAGATATTTAAGTGGGTGAGGACTATACCGGATACGATTACGAGCTGGGTGCTGACGGCGTTTGCGCTGCACCCGGAGAAGGGCCTGGGCGTGACCGATGAACAGCTGAAGATTAAGACATTCCAGCCGTTCTTTGTGTCCGTGCGTCTACCATACTCCGTGAAACGTGGCGAGGTGATCAATGTGCCCGCCCTGGTGTTCAACTATCTGCCCAAGCAGCTGGACGTCGAGGTGACGCTGGACAACGAGGATAACGAGTACGATTTTGTGGATGTGTCCAACGAGGTGCTTGGCGAACAGAAGCGCACGCAGACGGTGCGCGTGGCCGCCAACTCGGCAGCCGGTGCATCCTTCCTGCTCCGGCCCAAAATCATTGGCAGCATTCTGCTCAAGTTCACGGCCATTTCGCCCCTGGCCGGCGACGCGGTGCACAAGACGCTCAAGGTGGTGCCCGAGGGCGTCACCCAGTATAAGAATCGCGCGTTCTTTGTTAACCTGAAGGATGTGCACGAGCACAAGGACAGCTTCGAGCTGGATCTGCCCGAGGAGCTGGTGCCGGACTCGCAGCACGTTGAATTTGGCTTTGTTGGAGATCTGCTCGGGCCGGTCATCAAGAATCTGGAGCAGCTGCTGCATCTGCCCAGCGGCTGCGGCGAGCAGACCATGTCCAAGCTGGTGCCCAACTATCTAGTGCACGATTATCTGCAGAGCATGAAGAAGCTAACACCCGAATTGGACAGCCGCATCAAGCGCAATCTGGAGCAGGGCTACCAGCATATGTTCCACTATCGCCACGACGACGGCAGCTACAGCTCCTTTGGACCTGGCAAGTGGCGCGAGGAGGATCCGGAGCGCAACGGCTCCACCTGGCTGACGGCCTATGTGCTGCGCTCCTTTAGCCAGATCAGGAATCTCATCAAGCTGGACGAGAAACAGCTGGAAAGCGGCTATGAGTTTTTGCTCAGCCGCCAGGCCGAGAACGGCAGCTTCTCGGAGCAGGGTGAGTTCTTCTACGGATCACAGCGTTCGGTCCTGACAATGACTGCCAACGCGCTGCTGGCCCTGCTGGAGCAACCGAAACCCAACCAGACGGCCATCGACAAGGCTGTCGCCTACTTGGATGCCCACTCCAACGAGAAGGACACCGAGGAACTCTTGCCCCGGGCTCTGGCAACTTATGCTCTGCAGAAAGCCAAGTCCGCAAATGCCGCCAAGCACGTGGCTGCACTAAAGGCGCTTGCCAAGCACGAGGAGGATCGCACCTGGTGGACGGAGGATGACCAAAAGCTGCGCGCCGGCAAATGTGGTCGCTGGTGGTGCTGGATCTGGAGCCACGACATAGAGATCACCTCCTATGCGTTGCTCTCGCTGCTCGAATCGGAGCAGGAAACGCCCAACTCGCTGCTCGACTCGATCCGCTGGCTGGTGGCGCAGCGCAACAGCTTTGGTGGCTTTGCCTCCTCCCAGGATACCGTCGCCGGGCTGCAGGCCTTGATACAGTTCGCCAAAAAGTCCGGCTACGAGCCGGCCAGATGGGATGTAAGCGTCTCCAATCACGGTCAGCGTGAAAAAACCGAGAAGCTCAGCCTGACGGAGGACAACGATTTGCTGCTGCAAACGGTCGAGTTCCCCCAGGGCACCAAATCGCTGTCCTACGAGGCCAAGGGCACGGGCGCCGCCCTGCTGCAGATCAGCTACCAGTACAACGTGGTCGAGAAGGAACCGAAGCCCAGCTTTAAGATTCAAGCGATTATTAAACCCGAATCACCGCCGGCCAAGCTGGAGTTGAGCGTGTGTGTCGAGTATGTGGAGGAGGGCAAGGCCAAGGCATCCAATATGGCCATATTGGAGGTCTCGCTGCCGTCCGGCTATACTGCCGACGAGGAAAGCTTCAAGGATATTCAGGAAATCGAGCGCGTCCGGGTAGGTCCCAGCAAATAATCACATTTTAGACCTCTCTCTAAACCATCCTCTTATCCCAAACTCTTGCAGCTGGTGGAAACCAAAAACGACGACTCCGTGGTCGTCATCTACTTTGAGAGCCTGCCCAAGGGCGAACTGAAGTGCCTGCCCATTGAGGCATTCAAGACGCATGCTGTGGCCAATCAGAAACCCGCCCCGATTGTCCTCTACGATTACTACGACACGAACAAGAAGGCCACGGAATATTACCAGGTCGAATCGAAGCTCTGCGATATCTGTGAGGGCGACGAATGCTCGGCCAAGTGTTGAACCCAATCCTTTCATTAATTGGATCTAAATGCATAAACGAATAAAAAACAAACTGTTGTGATTATAATATAAGAAGCAAGGATCGCTTATTGACGAGGATTTTTCATACTAAACTTATTATTGGACCGATTCTTCCTATATAGCAACATGATATAGTTGTCGGATATGCCTCACATTCTCTATATAGAAAACTGTTTGTGCTTACTGACTGACTGATTGACTGACTGACTGACTGACTGACTGATTGGTGATCAAATCACAGTCCAAGCCGAAATAGCAAGGAAGCTGAAGCCCATTAAGATGGGGTTTTTGTTTACCATCCGATCGGCCTAGCAGCTCATTTTCAAAGTTTTTTGTTCAAATTCATTTGGGGGTGTTTCACCCTTATGGAAAATCCATCCCTACTTGGTGGAAATGTGGTTCAAGGATTTGGTGGGTAACGTTTCGCGCTCAAACTCATTTCCAAAGATCTATATGAAAAGTCATTTAAGATGTGTTTCACATTTTTGACAAAAAACAAGCTTCCTCGGTGGAAAGTGCGAAAGTTCGAAGATTTTTTTGGTGTAGTTTTAAGTATTGTCCGAAAAGTTCTACATAAGAATATAATGAATACACGTGTTTCAGCGATTTAGAAAGTTTCACCCGCAACAGTGGGAAATTGGCGGAAATCGTTTGTATGAAAGTTGTTTGTTTACCGTTCGATCACTTTCAAAATCATTTCCAAACAGCAAATGTAAATTATTATGCATTATTAAATAAATTAATATAAGATCTTTACGCTAATTATTTGGAGTACGTTAGCACTCAAGAATTTGTTGTCAAAAATTGCACACACATCAATATAGATATTTCGGCTAAGACCTTATCCGAGATGCCATCAATAAGAACCCGTATAAGCCATTTATAAACATTCAAACGCACTTTGGCCAAATCACGTTATATGGTTGACTATTTCCGAAAATTGTAAATTCATGTCGCCGCTAAAAAAAGTGCAAGCCATGGTTCCATTGATCATACTCTAGCCTTATCGCACGATATGTGTATATAAAATGTTTGTTTCGGGAGCGTATAATACAATGCCGATGCCCGTCCGATGCCGGGTCTAAACATTATCATAGTACGTGCGATTTTGCAATACGATAAGGTTTCCTAATGCCGAAGGCTGCGATCGAAATAGAAATAGTATCATTAATTCAACAAATAAGTGCTAGACATTTTTTATAAGTGGCTAAAATTGATGATGACTGTGGAAAATTGGAACCAGAAAATACCCTCTAAGCGAGTGAGAGTCTAGACTCCAGTCGGAAGTGCACGACTAACTGATACTCTAACTTTTATACTATAAACAATAGATGAAAGAGTGTAATATGCTTAATCCTTCTATACTAGGAGCTACCTTAAAAATTTTGTGTTTCTTTTCTTACTTTATTATTTCCTCTGAGAGCGTCAAAAAAGAATAAAAATAATGCTGACTGACTTCATTAATATTGCTGCAACTTGCCAGTTAATCCTCTTAATTAGTTAATCTTCTTCACTAGATTTCAGGTTAACTGGGAACTCAGAACCCAAAATGTTCTAGCTAGAAACTCATGTGATAAATGTATCTGGATGATTCTTGAGGTTCTTCTAGGTAATCCCACTCGTAAATCTCACGTGCCTCTGTATGCAGATGTAAGGCTTTGCCTGGCACATCCTTATATGGCTTCCTATAATCTGTTACAAGGCGATCTTAATGCCTTCAGTCCTCCTGTCAGGTTCATCTGTTAAATCTAAACTATTCCAATTGGAAGGCTTTCAGCAGTAATGCACCATGATCTAGATGTAATTCTTGTTTATAAATTAGAAATAGACTCTCAGGTTTTGACAGTGGGCCATAAGGTCGGGAGGATGGTCCGAGGAGTTTGATGAGTTGATAGGAAATATAATGCTAAATTTTAAAATCCCCGTAATACAATCCTCGAGCTCTTTGAGATCCAATCACTATCTCTACCCTGCATAATCAAAATTCTATTACAAGTTACGTTAATCATTCTTAAACTTTTTCTTCATTTTTTCAACGTTCATATATATTCTTAATTAATATTATTTATTAATTTATATCTCATTATTATTTGTTATTATTTTTTACTCAATATAGCTTCTCTCGATTAACACCTTTCCTCTAAGCTATAACAAAATTACCTGTGAAAAGGTGCAAAGCTTAGATTTTTACAGCTTTTAATTTTTCTGTATTTAAATAGGTTGAGACTCGTTTTGTCGATCATTAATTGAAAAGGAGCCCCTTAATATACCTTGTCTGAACTATTTGGCCTTAAGTTCGGCTCAAGGAAGCACCAGACCAGTTAATAGACCATTTATAGAGACAGAATTGTATTGAAATAGAATCCTGGTTGGTTCGGTTGTTGCCATATTCCAGACTCCAGACTCCAGTTTCCTGATGATCAATATTTATTCTTGAAATAATCTTTGCATAATATTAAGTCACAAATGTACTTTTCTGTCCCAATTAGCATCGCCTAGACTAGTCCGTGGTTATAGCTCCTTATCTGGAGACAACAAGCTTTCCAGGGTATTCGCTTCGGAAAGCTTCTATTTATTTCTATTTATCCTATTCAAGCCCTGGACAGATAGCTTTACAGGGAAAATGTGACTAGGATACCTCATACTTTATGGGGTCGGCTCAGTTTCACACGAAACCATCCTACCCAGTTCAATAGGTACAGGGTATAAAAGTATGCTCGTAATCCATAATGGGTAACGTGCGCCTGGGCACAGAATCGAAATGAATTATCTGAAGTATTGGAATAATTATCTTGAAAGCTGAGCTGATGCATTTGCTGACCGATAAAGATGCTACCTGTTGATAAAGACCCAAAAGTAACCCACAAACGTATCGAAAACGTTTGCGATAACTAAATAGATGGTGTCCGATGCGAACGTGAGGGTGCTAAATTATATATATTATAATCCTTTAAGTTCTATGCATTTGATTGCTAAGCGCAATTTTACTGATACGCCAAATATAAAAGTAATTGTTGTCAATGACAAGTTAGAAACTGCCTGGCAAGGTGCTCGACTGGGAGATACTCTCTAAATAAGTTTGGGAATGTATATGAAAGGACATTTTCTTGTAACATTATTATTTATTTTGTTTAAAATCTGATGAAATGAAATCAACTTCCCTGAAGTTAGGCAGGCAAATTTAAAAGGATTTGGGAAACCCCGAAATTAAATTATACACCAAAATATCAAGTTATTTTAGCTTCGATTTGGGGGTAATGCTAAATCTGGTAAATCAGATATCAGATCAGAGTACCTCAGCTGAATTGAATGCTGCAGCTAATAAGCCATGCATAATATATATATATATATATATATGTATATCGACTTTCCAGGTCGCGTATACCCTCTTTAAAATTGTGCAATGGGTAAAGGTATAAAAAGGTTTCGCTATGCATAAAGAGAGTTCAAATTAGTTGACTGTTCCTTATTCGTGAATGCAGTAAGCAATGTGATAGTTATTAATTCATATAAATTAAACATGTGCTGCAGGATTTAATATCCTGTGAAAAGTGCTTTTGAAACTCTTTAAACTCGAAGAGACATTGATTGAGCGAAAGTTTATGGAATATTTTTAAGCAAATTTACAAGAAATTGCGAAAATCTCAAACGGCAAACTTTTCTGAGTTCCAAGCAATCAAAAAAAATTCAATAGCAATCCTGCGGCTCAGAGCTAGTGCATCCAAAATGACAGCTGAGGTAAAGCGAACCAACTCGACGACTGCTCTGCAGCACATCGAAGCCGGACTCAATGTGCTCAACCAGCTGTGCATTGGATTCGTCACAATTTGGATATGCTGGAACTGCCTGCGCACGGGGCTGGTGGGGATTCGGCTGCACGTCTGGCTGGCATCGTTTGGCTTTGTGTTCCTGATGGCCGAGGGCATGATGTGCTTCTACGATGGCAACTGGCTGACATTGCGCTACACGCGAAAAACCAAGACGGCGGTTCATGTGGTGCTCCAGATACTCGGCGGCGGCATGGGCGTGGCCGGCTGCCTGGTCCAGCTCATACGCGACGACTGGAACTTTGGACCCACCATCCATTCCCGGCTGGGATTTGCAGCCTTTGTCCTGAGCCTGATCTCACTACTGAGTGGAATTGTCGCTGTGCTGGCCCGCAGCCTGTCGCGAATTGTGTCGCCGCTGGCCAACAAGACGTTCCACGTGCTGCTCAGCCTGGCCACCTTTGTGATTGCCATGTTGGCACAGTTCTACGGCTATACGCAGACGGGCATATTCAAGGGTCAGGGAAACGATTTCGTGATCCTCATGCAGGTTGTGACCCTCGTCGCAATGGTCCTAACTTGCATCGCCCTGCTCAAGTCTCTATATCAAAAATGTGTCAGTTTTGCCAGCTAAGGCTAATTATACCCTGAACCCATTCAAAATGGGTATAAGGGTATATTGTATTTGTGCGAAATCCAAATGTATGTAACAGGCAGAGGGAAACAACTCCGACCCCATAAAGTATATATATTCTTGATCAGCATCAATAGCCGAGTCCATCTAGCCATGTCCATCTGTCTGTCCGTCCGTATGTATGAACGCAAGGATCTCAGAACCTATAGAGCTAGAGACTGAAATTTTAGATGTGGGTTCTCCTAGCTCCCGCGCAGATCGAGTTTATTTCCAATAATCGATAACTTACTCCGTTTCCAAGCAATCGATAAAAATCTATATCGATATCCTGTTTTTGGGCAATTTTGGTAAATAATAAGAGCTAGAGTCACCAAACTTGACAGATAGCTTCTAAAATAGAATATATATATGCATTTGATGTTGGAAAAAGAGGGTTCAGGGTATCCCCTAGTCGGGAACTTCCGACTAAAACCTCTTACTTGTTTTTAATTATTTTAGTTTAAGATATTACATGTACTATTTATTATAAGTTTAGGCTATTGATAATATTAATGCTAATGTAACTTACATAATAACATTAATAAATTATTAGATGACATTCATAAATTACACATTAATCATTTATTTAATTATTGGTTGAGCACGCGAAAAGCAATTTCTTATTTTATTATTTATATATTTATCCTCGTCCATTTATTTATCTTGGAGTTACCCTAAAGGCATTCTAGCTTCCTTCATATGCACAGGAATGCTTGCCGCAGGATACGCACTTTGTGCTGCTGCTGTGCTTTACTTCACTTATTAACTTCGGGTTTTACGTAATTTTTCCTATAGGGACCACTCCCCAGAGGTCTTCAAATCGTGAAATATCTCATTTTCATAAAATGGAAGGAGCATAATAGTTTTATTTTTCTCGGCTCCATTTTATGAAGTTCTTGTGATCGACGCATGAGCAAAACTGATATATGCGGGCGGAGATACTTCCTGTTACATGCATTTTACCATTTTTATCCATTTGCCATAGCTTCAGGGTATCTTAATAATGATAATGACAATGATAATGATAATGATAATGATAATGATAATGATAATGATAATGATAATGATAATGATAATGATAATGATAATGATAATGATAATGATAATGATAATGATAATGATAATGATAATGATAATGATAATGATAATGATAATGATAATGATAATGATAATGATAATGATAATGATAATGATAATGATAATGATAATGATAATGATAATGATAATGATAATGATAATGATAATGATAATGATAATGATAATGATAATGATAATGATAATGATAATGATAATGATAATGATAATGATATTGATAATGATAATGATAATAATATTAATAATAATAATAATAATGATAATGATAATATCTCTTACATTTTCAAATGTGGATACATGAGTTTCTACCCAAAATAATGTGAAAAAACAGGTTCGCATTGCTTGTAGTGTGAATCATCGATTCAATTTAGTAGCTTTTAAATTTATTAGCTGGTATGTATTATTATCCCAGTTAAAAGCAGCTTCCTCGAAAATAATTTGATAATGCTGTTCATCAAATTAATGTAACATGCTGAAGTCAATGTACATATATATTTTTACATATAGATCTCAGCTCGGGAATTTTTCTCTTTGTGCCCATGAATAACACGGTCTTTATGATCTTCAGATTCATGTTGGTATATATTTTTATCTAGAATCTATAATGTTGTATACCTCCCCTTTTTGTAACAAAATAAACTGGTAAGAGCATGCAGTCGAGTTGACTCGACTACGAAATCCCCTGCACAACTCAGTCAACATAATTTTTTTGGTTTCTAGGCAACGTTTTTCATTCAAAATAACCCAAAATGAATTCCTGTCTCCTGTATTCCTGAAGTGTCTGTATATATATATATATATTTATTTATGCATCTTCTTCTATGTTTCTTGCCCATCTTCATTATATTTTAGGGGCATATGTCATATAAATGTGCATATACCAAATAACAAGGCTCTAGCTTTAAGAATGTTAGGGTAATGTTTCTAAAATGTGTGAACTATACGAGAGCCTCAACACAAAAACTTAAAACAAAAGCTAAGAACCCAAGGCTCAAAACTTATTTTCATCGATTTCAACGAAGAATCGAAGAAAAACAGGATAAACTCGTTTTGTGTACGATGTAGGGTATATATACTTATATGCCTCTAAATCGACTCAGCTCGTCGTTCTGATCAAGAATATGTACTTACGGGCTCGTGAAGGGGGTATCTTCTGCCTGTTACGCTCGTTTGCACAAAGCTTAAATACCCTGTTCTATTCCCTTTTAATTGGTGCACCATTGGAAGGCTTGCACACATTTGTTTGTAACTCTCGAGAATTGAATAAAGATTGGACTTAAATTGGTTTGGATTTTATGCATCAGAGCAGAGTGTTTCGATTGGAAAATGTGACGAATAGAGTGTATAAAAAAATTTCAATATTTGTAATAGCTGGTTACAGGGTATCGGCTCGTCGGTACTCCAGACAAGACAGACGCTTTAAGCAGCTTCCCCCGAGGAAATTAATACGCAATAAACAATATTCGCATTGACACACATACATACATACAAACATCTGCACACAAATGCACACACATACATCTGCACACAAATTCACACACATACATCTGCAGTTATGTGAATGTATTAGTTGTTGCGGCTTGTGGTCATGCCAAGCATATGTATGTGTGTGTGAGTACGTATGTGAGATATATCCCGTTAATCACTCGAGCTTGTACGAAAAGTGAGATTAGTTGAATAATTTACGGCTAGCGAAGCAGTCAATGGGCGTATTTATGAGAGGCGCAAATAAATTATAGATTGCAATTGAATTTAATCATATTGGGCCTACAATAATTGGAAAACCCGCTACGAGAATTGCGCCAATTTGAATGTGTAAAAAAAAGAAAAAAAAACAAATATGCCAGACTCGTAAAATAGTTGTTGGACGCAATTATCAGTCGCAGAGTTCGCATAGTTTATTGTTTGCCACCAATAAATTAAACACGAAAATAACATTATTCTATCAATCTGATAAGCGCAACGTACAAACTCAACAAGTAAGAGTGCTCTAACCGGCAGTAGCCGACTAGCAGATAGCCTGTAAATAGCTATTTTAGTATGGCAAATGCATTAATGTATCTAAAGTCCGCTTTTTACAAAATTGTCGGGATGACATAAATTAAGACACAAAGCCTTACCTGTGGAAGAACTGGGGTAGAATCTTCTCCAAAGGGAGCAGATCTTTGGATCTGTGTGTAATTCCTACATACCAAATTCGTAGTTTCTAGCTTCAGGATACATATCGCTACAGAGTCCGTTTGCCCAGAGAAAATCAACTATTTTTGTATATATGCCTTCTCGTAATGTCTCTGCTGCCATAACTACCCCTTTCACCCACTCATATGTACAGGGTATATACAAACTTGACGAATAAACTCTGCTCGATTTTGGGCCACAATGACGGAGCATCTGTCGTCGGTCATCAGTAGCCAGCAGAGAGTCGTCGACTACGGCAGCACGTCGAAAGCCCGCCTCAGTCCGGATCCGCAAGCACGTGCTTCCTTTGTGCTCGCCAGCGAATCTCCGCCGTCCGTTAAACGTTATTCGAGAATGCCGCACAATAAGCTTAAGGGTGAATCCCAGCAGCCGCTCGAGCGGCTGGAATACTTTTTGAATGTGCTGAATCAGATGTGCATCGGATTCGTGACCATCTATATGTCGTATATCACGCTGCGCACGAACCTGGCAACAACCCACCTGCACGCCTGGCTGGTTACGATTGGCGTAAGGTTTTTGTGCCCGGCAAGCAATTGCATCATAACAGTTTCCCTCTTTGTGCAGTTCTCCTTCTTCATGGCCGAGGGCGTCATGGTGCACTATGGCGGCAATGTGCTGACCAACAGCTACAAGCGCAGCACTCAGACCACGATACACTGGGTCCTGCTGACCCTGGGCGGGGGCTGTGGTGCCGCCGGCGCCTTGATCAAGATGATTCAGAAGGGATTCCTGCTGCAGACCACGCACGGCCGTTTGGGTAAGTAAGCGCAGGTGGAGAGCATATGGAGCGGCACTCTGATTGATCTGCGATTATACCCCTAGGCATAACGGCCTTTGTATTGTGCCTGCTGGCCATGAGCTCCGGATTGGCAGCTCTCTGCTCGACGCGCGTCAAGAAGCTGATCACGCCGCTTTTGAATAAGGCTTTCCACAATTTCGTGGGCTTCGCCTGCTTTGTCATCGCGCTCGTCGCCCAGTATTACGGCTATCAGACGGGCTACTTTAAGGCCCGCGTCGAAACGGACTTCCAAATCCTGATGAAGTGCCTGACGCTCGTCTCGCTCGTGCTCTCCAGCTATGGCCCCATCAAGGGACTCTATCATAAATTTAAGGCCATCTCGGGGCAGTACTAATCAAGAGCTTATACTCCCCGATCTATAATTACGTACGGACAGTCCTCTGCCCTGTAAGAAATTCCCATAATTTCGTGAAATCCCCAACGAGACACTTTTGCACTTTATGCCGGGCCAAGCAGGGCAGTTGGAATTCCGCCTCATTAAAAATTATTATTTTCAAATTCTAGATAAGGTTGTTGTGCCTCGGCCTCCGGCTGGGCACGTACGGCAACTAAACTTACGGATTTATTTTGTCAGATCCTTAGATAGTTAAGACCCACATTTGATACGATTTGCTGTGAATCATTTGGAATTTAGATAGCAACACGTCAAAAATGACGTAGGACATAAAAACGAGTGAGTCAGAGCAAAATATTAAAATTGAAAAGAAAAAAAACTACAAAATTATTTTTTGCTTGAATTATTATTATATATATATTTCTAAAAAATTTAAAAAAAAAAAACAAAATTGTTCTCGAGATATTTACATTTATGTTTTTTATATATTTTATGTACTTCCAAGTTGATGGAAATTAAAAAAAAATAAACATTTTTTGTTTTATTTTTAGCATGCATTTGAAAGAAGTTTGAATTACAAAAATAATCAGCCTAAATACTCAAATACTTTCTCAAAATTCAAAATATTAGGAAGAAAGACGGTTTTGCAGATTACAAAATATCCAAAAACCGATTAATCAACCGATTTTTTTTAGGAAAAGTTTAGTTAGTAAAAGTTAAAAACCGCTTTTAAACATAATTTTCGACGAACAAAATTTGAATGAGTTTTTATAGCCTGAACCCATTAAAAATGGGTATAAGGTATGTATCAGGCAGAAGGAAGCTTCTCCGATCCCATAAAATATATATATTCTTGATCAGCATCAATAGCCGAGTCCATCTAGCCATGTCCGTCTGTCTGTCCGTCCGTTCGTCCGTCCGTATTTATGAACGCAAGGATCTCAGAACCTATAAGGGCTAAAAAAATTTTAGATGTAGATGCTCGTAGTTCCCGCGCAGATCGAGTTTGTTTCCGATAATCGATGACTTACTCCGTTTCCAAGCAATCGATAAGAATCGATATCGATATCTTGTTTTTGAGCAATTTTGGTAAATAATAAGAGCTAGAGTCACCAAACTTGACATATAGCTTCTAAAATAGAATATATATATGCATTTGATGTTGGAAGAAGAGGGTTCAGGGTATCCCCTAGTCGGGAGGTCCCGACTAGAACCTCTTACTTGTTCTATTTATTTTTCTATACCCGAGGCAATGCATCTACAGAAATCATTGCCAAAGGCGTAAAAAGTTAAACACAATCTATTTTCCTAAAAAAAGGCTAAGCGTATTTTCAATCAATTTTTACTCAAAGTGTTTTTAAAATCAAATAAGGTCTATCATACAAGAACTTTTCCGATTATTTCTGTGAAAGCTTTATGATATAAATGTCCAAAATGAAGAGATCAAATGATAAAGTGAAAACAAAAGTAATTAATTAAGAAGCTTTAGAGAACATTGCTTGTGAGAAAGTTAACTACATCAAAAGACAGAACTTGAAAATGAACTGAGAGTTATAATTAGTTATGTATATATTAGACTGATTATTACAGAGTACCGCACATCGATTATTTATTAATAATGAGTTGACGAAATTCTTTTTGTGCTTATAAAAACATGTGTCTATTTGAATTATTTTTAATGCTTTACCGTAGACATACGATATACCTATGTTTCCCAACTATAAATACATTTTCGTCAACTCATGTTGGGCTTATCTCAAAAACAAGCTGCCAATGAGATTACCTCAGGTGAACGATCGTCAATCGAAAATAAGAATTGTTCTTTTTTTTTTAATTAAATCCAATATTTTCACTTGTTGTACTACTTGAGAAACATAGCAGTTCGTTCAATAGCGAAGTTAAGGCCGTTTGATAATATAATAGCTCGAATACGGACTCTAAAGTAAGATCCTAAGCAACATTCGAGTGCCCGGAAACGGTAAACATTTCGAAAGAACACGATAACATTTCAAAGAACGGTTACGTTATTCGATAACCGATGAGGTCTATCGACCAAAAATCCACTCAAGTGTGTACACACTGCGACAAATTGATGGCGGTTTGTTGAATTTACCGTTACAAATTTAAATGCAGACGGGAGACGCGAAACTTCAACAAACCTCGTTGGGTTTGAAACTGCGACGCGTTTCTTTCAATTATTTGTATGTAAAACGACGTGTTTCTTACAATTATTTGTACGTATTCCGATATCGGTCAATAGAGACGTAGATACTTCTCGGGCTTCAGGTCTTGTTGGGCTGCGTCGCGCCTTTGTTAATGCAATAGTCATGATTTTTGAAAGAGAACCACTCAATTAAAATGCTTATATGGTTGATATTATAACATATTATTTTTTGTGCTTTTGAGCAAAGTGCCAGACCAGCAGGCAGCTTAAAACTGGTTCGATTTCCAGCCCAAATATTGACTTCATTTATTCCCAATGCTCATCAATTTCAATATCAGCCTTAAAGCATGCCACAATTGTATTCAAATAGCTTCGTAACAAGACATGAACCAATTTTCCTTTTGGGTTCTTCTTCTCTGGAAAGAACCCATCCGCTAATCCTCAGCCCTTAAAAAGAAAACAGCATTTCGGTTAGGCTACTTTAACATAATTAATATGCAAAGTGCAGCTCGTTTTTATTGTAAAAACTCTCAATATAGTTCGTACGTAACTAGGTGCGATAAATAATACTTGGCGTGTTTCTTCTTTCGATCGTTGTGGATGTGTTTCGTGCATAAGTATAAAATAAATATAAACTCTAGCGTAAGGTAAAAAAATACATATTCGAAGTGAAGAATCTCAAAATCTCGATATAAGCAGCACGCTTGGGAGCTGTGGCTTGGAATACAAGGGTTACACTTAACATTTAGTTAATAGGACGAATAATGACTACGACTAAAGCACATAGAAATTCGTAATACGCATTTTAGACTTTGACATAACATGCATAACATGGGGCAAGGCAAATCAATAGCTTGTTACAGATACTTGTCTATATAGAAGATATTCATTTTCGGTTTGCAATTTAAAGCTTTGTGCTGCGCCGGATGGCGAACGACATCAGGGCGTGCTCCAGCCGCATATGATAGGGCAGCTTGCGTTCGACGAAGAGCGGCTCATCTCCTCCAGCGCAGCACTGCGCCCGGCAGCACTCGCATTGCTCCTGGTCGCTGGCCTCCTCCTCGTCCTGTTGCAGCTCGCGCTCCAGCTCGTAGGCCTTCTTGGCTGCACGCTGCTCGAAACGCAAATAGAAAACGAAACAGACGAACAACATAAAGACGAGTGCGCACATGGCACCGCTGGCGATGCTGGCCTTCTCGAGCATGGGACGCGGCCGCTTGGGCAAATAGGAGCCATCGATTTCCTTGTACTCGCAGCGCTGGCCCATAAATCCGATGGCACACTCACAGCTGTAGACAGGCAGCTCGGCGATCTTCACAGCGAAGCAGTGGGCATCGTTCAGACAGTACCAGGCATCAAAGTTCTCCGGGCACTTGTATGTGGGGAATGTTATGTTCGGCCTGGCCGTCGTCGTTGTTGTTGTGGTTGTGCGCATTGTTGTGCTCGTCGTTGACGGCGCCTGGGTTGGCGGCAGCGCAATGCCGGACATGGACGACGACGAGATCGATGGACGCGGCTTGGGCACCGTGCGGCTGGAGCATGCCTCAATTATGGCCGGACAGCCCAAGCAGCTAACCAGCAGCAGCAGCAGTGTCAGGCCCATTTTGAGCTTGTCGAATAGTCTAGTTGTGGTTTTTATGCTGCTTGTGGAATGCATTTGCAGAATGTGGCTTGATGCTATTTGGTATGCAACTTTGTTTGGTTTCTCTTAAAATCTTAAAATACAACTACAACAGTATATGCATAAAAATAAAGAAGAATAAAACAAGACTATCACAAAGTATTATTAAATCGTTATGCACAGCGAAGCGTCGTCAAAGGATCTTTGGAATTCTTTTCTTTTCTCATACAGTAGCTGCATCTACAAATGCATCAGAATCGGAATCAGAATCTGTGTGTGTGTGCGAGTGTTTGGAACAGCGTATCTGTGGAAAAGATACAAACACATTAATAAACACGACAGAATATTAGTTAATGTACTTAAACCCATATTTATAAATAATTAAAATATAGTTATCTAAGGATATATTTTAAGAAAAATGATACATATTCAGGGACAATTTATTCACATTTCAGACACGAATTCACTGCAATATTGTTATATTAAATCGATTTGTTTTTCGTGCTGTTTTCCGTTGATTATCCTAGCTCATCAAAGCTGGCTGTGATATGCGTCGGGTATCCATATCACAACCACTTGATGAGGCTTAGATAAGCAACATCAAAATTCCTTTGATGCAATCGTTTTTATTATTTTTTTTTTTTTTGTTACATTTTCGATTATCGAGCCACTTGTTTTGAAGCCCAAATGATGTTTCCAATTCCAGCCCATTCCAAAATCCATTCCTAACTGGGCTTGATATAGGTGCAAGGTACGTTATGAATTGATTTTATTGATTGACTGATTGATTGATTGATTGATCGATCGATCGATTGATGTACGTGACATTACGCTAAGCTCATCAAAGCTGGCTGTGATATGCGCGCAAAGCTTTCAAATGCATTTCACAACCACTTTGAGAGCGCAGCATGAATGTGCCAATCTTATGGTAAGAAGAAGACTGATGCATGTGTGGACAGGTAAACACAGATAGATAGACAGTTAATGGGGATCAACAGAGGGAGGGGGGTTGGTGTATTAATTTTGTTTAATGATAAATGTAATGAACATTGCGCCGTGCTTATAATTGATATGTAAATGTTATGAGTTGTAATTCATTTATTTTTATTTATTTTTTTGATGAATGTTTTTGTTTTTGTTTTTGTGCTGAGCATCGTGTCGCTCCTCAAAGCTGGCTGTGATATGAGTAGGCATAAAAAGGCAAACATTTCACAACCACTTTGAAGAATGACACAATTCTCTCTCTCTCTCTCTCTATCTCTCTCGCTTCCTTACTCAGCGCTGTGCAATGCACATGCGCACACACGCTCTGTCTCTCGCTCTTTCACACATACTGTTGCTGCTCAATTGGTACTCTTACTTTGTTGTTCCGCTTTATATCTTACCACCGGCTTTCGTTTTGTCGCCACGCGTATTAAAAAAAAAAAAACAACAATTTATAATAATAACAGAACATGTTACTGTTAGTTTTGTTGACGACGCGATGTTGGGGAACGTTGATTTTAGCTGTAGTACACAAATCTGAATGGAGTCGTCGAACGTTGTGAATTGTGCAAAATGAATGAAAGCAAATTTAGCATACGCTATTTATTTGGCGATAATAAT